AAAGCGTACAGGACAGAAGAATCCTTTGTTGTCCACTCGCCTTCTAACCATCCTACACCAACCTCCTCACAAGGGGTCACGAGCCCTCCACCGATGTCCAGCCCGTCAAGCAGTACGACTGCTTCATATTGTTCCACCAACCACCTTGGCGGCAACCTATCAATCGGCGATACCGCCTCGATCGGCACTTATTCCAGGGGACAATCGGCTGATCCTACATTCAATCAAGAATCAACACCACCGGCAGTGGCTCCTGGACCGTCAAAAGAACCACCAATGCCATCGGTCTCCTCCGCATTTGACACGCACCCGCCACTTACAGCCCCGAGTATGGCGCCACATTACACACCAGAAGCCTACGTTGGGCCGACGCTCTATCACGATGTATCGATCGACCCGAACACCCCTTATAACACGATACCTTCAGTTGTTCCCGGACTGCAAGGCTGGGACCCCAACTTCTCACTTGCCTCAACAACTGCGGGTCATTTGGCATACACGGATGCGACTGTCGATCCAATGAATTGGTCCAGTTCCATTGGAGATCAGTACTCTCAGTATTTCAACGAGCCATTTCCAGTACCTTCATGGCGCGAGCGCACGCTCAGCCAACAAGAACAAATTGAGCTTTTGGATTCCCTCGAACACAATATACCCGATGTATCTGCTCAATTGGTGAATGAGTATAATGCTTATTATCAGTCCTGAGGTTCTGATGCAGTCGGTCTCTGTCTGCAGATATCATTTTGTATTGGAGAGCTCTGGCGCTTAGTTAGGAGTTATGATTTAATCCCCGATATATCGATATATCACTGCTATTCTATCTTGGACTGGCTCATCTTCTGACATCTATGAATATGCTTTCTTTGATGGTCATGTTGCCAACTGGGCTGGCGGTCCATGCCGAGAAAGGCATCTTAACCCATCTGACTTTGCTTTTCTCGGCGAATAGTCTTTTAATAGCAAGAGATACCACTTTCAATAGTTTCAAGTCCCGTTTGATATTTGATTCATGGCTTGGTGGGTTAGGATAATAATGCAGGTAAGATCTGGGATCCGCCCCATAACATCTAAGTAGTGCAGTATAATCTGATTCACATATCGTACATATATTAATAAAATGTGTATTTGAGCGAGTATAATAGGGATTTAGTCCCGGCAAATACAGCTAAAAGTGCCTTTCAATCAAGTTTTGTTTTTCGGCGATATGTAGTTGCCACTCGGGAGATGAATGTTTGAATTATCCAATTGATGCACTCCTATTGTATTGAGAATAAAGAGAAAAGTAAGATAACAATGAATAGATGAATAGATGAATGCATATTTGTACATAAATCAATAGATACAATGCATGTGCCAAATAAAGACATCGGGCCAAGACCAGTCACGTGAAAGAATTCGCCGTCATCCTCGCCGGCTTTGACCACAAGGATTGTCTCCATCATCACCCTGCTTCAACCACAGCCACTCATCAGCCACCCAATTTGCACCACTTGTAGGGATTCACTTTAGTCCCTTGAAGTGCAGATGATCTAGTTCGCCCGTTGAATGACCTGCTCGCCTGCTTGAGCGACCGTCGATCGTGACCGGGAATCCCCCCTCTCCAGGCACTGTATCACACTTTGCGATTCGGATCCAGAGCCGCTCTGGTCAATACCGTTTCTGCATGCTGAACTTTTCCTCGGGCTCTCATGTCTGATCGCACTCACCCAGCATCCTTTCAAGCAAGACCTCCTTCACCTTCCTCGCCTGCCGGATCTCTCAAAGAGAACCATCGGTTACCCATTTCTTCGGACCACATTCCCCAAACCCCGACATCCCCTCCGTTGATGTCGGTGAGCGAACAAAGTCATGCCGCCAACTTCATATCCTCGCATACATCACCGAATCAGGCGACGGTCCAACCTCCGAACATCTCCTCCCCTCCATCCTCTGCGCCGATGTCTACCCAAGTCTCCCAGCAGCCCACAATGAGCACAACCAATTCATTCCCCACTCCTGCCAGCAGTGTGAGTGGTCATCCTACGAATGCGACCTCAGAGGATGCGGATCAGGGGAGAAAATCTTTCAATACGGGGATACAGGACTCGGCAGAAAACTCGGGAGCAAGTCCCACCCAGCAACCAACACAACACAAACCGACCGGCCACGATCGGCAGACCTTACAAACCGACGGAACTAACGACTTTGCCACCGGGCAGGGTCAGTACTCGACAGAGCCCGACGCTATGGATATTGATACACAGCCGACTAGCCGGGCTGATACCCTCAGTCTCAGTCTTGATTCTCTTCAGAAAGAGCTAACCTCGGCTTTTCATCTTTGCAAAAGCTGTAAGATTCCCCAAAATGCATGGTGTCTGCTGCATGCAGCTGCACGAATGCACTGATCTTGAACATTCTTGGAAATAAAGTTGTTAACACTGCTTTTTACTCCTTGACAGCTCCGATCGTTACTGGTCCAGACCCTTCGGTGGACCTCGTTTCTCTCTATGGGCTAGGCCCAATCGCGCATTCGGTAGCACGCATGGATCCCGTGACGGGAGAGAAGATCAACCGCCTCCGGAAATCATACGAAGGAAAGCTAAAAGGACTGGGACTCGCTGGCCGGAATAAACCCCTCAAGCAGGAGATCGGCGCTCCTGGCAGTCTGAGGTACATGACCCTGTGGCCTGAAGAGGAATGGCAGAACCAGAAGGTGCATGGCAAAGCTATCAAGGTTTCAGATATGGATTCGGCGTTGCACAATCTTCAATCGCGGGCTATGCAGATGGAACCAGGACCTATTCCCAATAATGATTTCTGGGAAGATATCTTGGGTCACGAAAAGCCGGTCAAGAATCCAGCGGCAGGCGAAACTGGCAAAAAGGCTACCCCAGGTCTAGCTGCTCGCCCCTCTACTCAATCATATGCCGCATCTCCACGATCACAGGAAGCAGAGCGGCCACGGCCTAGTAGGGGCCGCAAGAGACATTACGATGACAATAGCTTTGCCGGCTATGGCGAAGGGTTTGTGGATGATGATGATGACCCAGGATTCTACTCGAACGGTGAGGGAACTGGAAAGAAGAAACGCAAGAAGGTATCGCATTCCCATGGTAACCGATGTTGATAAGAATTAATCCAATTAATCAGGACCACGTCGCTAAGGTGTCAACCCCCATGTCCGAAAGAAGCACTAGCTATGGGGTAGGCATGTTCGGCATCGGGGCCAGATGACGAAATGGGTTTTATGATCATTTCGAATCAACCAAAAAGCTGTTTCTGTTTAATTTTTTTTTTTCGATGAAACAATTCTGCCCATATTAACCTAGGGGTGACGGGGTGATGGCTCGAGTCTTGCCATTGAGACCGATTCATATGGCTTCCCCCTATTTTGTTTTTTTTTTTTTCATTCTGAGTACATGTTGCATCACGGTGCTGGATATACCCGGCTTCATCAATCGGACGGCGTTCGGGCGGGAAACAAAGCTATCCAAAGTGGATATGATCAATTGCTTTTATTTTCGTAAGCTTTGTTTCTTCCCTTGTTTTTTTTTTTTTTTTTTTTTTATCTCGCGCACAGCTATTCGAGATCTCTGCTGTAATGGTTGGTTATTCTGCTTTTTTGGTCTCTTATGCTTCTTTTTTCCATGATTCTTCTAACCGGCCAATGTGGTCCGATGTGTTCATCAATGATTTACAGGGAGTGTGCATGACACTTCCTTATATTTTTTTTATATGAGTCTTTGGAGCCTTGAACCTGGCGTGGAGATATCATTCCGCGACGAGACAAGTGCCGAAGAATCAGTCAATCGATTCAATAGATGACAAGATGCTTCATTGTAAGGTAGAAGCTGCACTGGAAAGTAGGCTTCTTTTTGTATGTAAATAGCTTCTCTTTCACTGTAGAGAGGCCAAAAGCAACCTAAAGCACTGGGATATTAAAGAACCCCAATCCCATAGATGAAGTTGGTCTTGATTAAATGTGTGGCCATAAACGGCCGAAATATCTCGCGCTTTTGCCATGCAGAATATCCGATCCACTCTGACATCCTCAGCCAGCCACAGAAAACCCGATGTCCTGTCCTTTCTACGGAGTCAGATATGGTGAGATTACGACCCGCCAATCACATGGCGCCGCGTCCGCTTTTGAAGCCTTTCTCGGGGACCTAAAAGTGGTGCTGTTTCCCGATTGGCAGCGTTTTCGGGTTCCTGGCAGGGCATTGGGCATTGGGTTTCTTGGGCTCTCTACGGATCTCTCTAGGTACTCCGTACCTCGAGATATGCTGTGTCTGTCACCTGTTGCCCTGTACTCTGTACCTAACACCTATCTAGGTGTATTGTGATGGGCTCTTCGGGGTCCGGGCTTCTAGCCTAGATTGTTTGTGGGCTAAATGATGGCTTTTATCACATTATTATACTCTGACTTCCTAGGTCTTTTTGTCTGAGACCATGTCTCATTGAAGGTATCAGCACCTGCGTATCACATAAAGTGTGTCCCAGATCTGAATGAACAAAGAAAGGCTCTCCAGAACTACGTGAACTGTGTGCCTCAAGCCAAACTCTAGGGTTCTAGGTACAGGACTATCAAGGGGATAATGATGTTTTGAGTTTTGAGATATCCTAGTTTTTCATGGAAATCGGAAGCTGGAAAAAGAGTAAAAGCAAAGCAAGACTGTTTAGAAATTATAACCCCGAGTGAATACTCTAAACATCTTTCACTTTCAAAGCTTTTAGACACCACAAAGCACTAGACATATCACATATCACACATGCGGGGTTGTGTAGCTCTGCAGCTCTAACACGAGTGACGCTGCTGATCATTTAATTCTTGTCCAATTGGATATCCGAGGGATCTATTCACAGCTCGTCACATCACCAAAAAGTAATTGACCATTCAGAGGATTGTCAATTTGTCATGTGGCACAGCTTGTGCAATTGGTGCGTCCTTGGCATTCTTTGTTTTAAGAGTGAAAGTCGTTTTCTTCTTCTCACCCTCTGGTGTATACAGAGTACACACTATGCCTTCGCCTATCCCTCAGCCCCAGGGGCTTCCAATTCTTGGGAATATCTTTGATATGATCCCTGGCAATACCTGGGCTTCTCTAAATAAGCTGGCAGCAGAACATGGAAGTTCTGGTATCTTCAAAATCAAGATTCTCACCAAGCAGCTCGTCTTCATTACAAACGCAGCTCTACTCGAGGAAATTTGTGATGAGAAGCGCTTTCGAAAATGCGTCACCGGTCCTATTGTCGAGATCCGCAGTCTTGCCCACGACAGTCTCTTTACTGCCTTTCACAATGAGGAAAGTTGGGGCATCGCGCATCGTATCATGGCTCCTTTCGTTTTGCCCGATGCCGTCAAGGAGATGCATAGGGATATACAACTCACAACAGACGACTTAATCTGGAAATGGACTTCAACAGACAGCGCCGGGAAACCTGTGGATGTCTCCAATGACTTGGATCGGCTGAACCATGCTGCCAACATGAAATGTTTCTTCAGTCAGCATGTAGACTGTGTCCTTGGCGAAGAGCCCTCTGTTATCAAAGCTATGTTGGATACAACCTTTGAAGCTGTGCGTCGGCCCACACGACCTAAGCTCCTTACTCGGCTCTTGTACCAGAGTACATTCGACAAGGATATCAAAACTTGTCGCGACTATTGCGCTCAGATGATCGCCAATCGACGTGCTAAGCCTGTAGTACAGCGAGATTTGCTGCACGCCCTGCTTCACGAAAAGGACCCGAAGACCGGAGAATCCCTTCCAGATAGTCGGGTCATCGACGAGATAATCAACATTCTCATCGGCAGTGCCACGACCCCGAACCTCGTTACTTTCACTCTGTACTATCTTGCCAAAAACCCAGACGAGATCACCCGTGCCCGTCAGGAAATTGACACCCTCATCGGCCCCTCCGGCCAAATTGAACACTTCCATCTCTCGCAATTACCCTACTGTGAAGCAATCCTCCGTGAATCCTTCCGTCTCTGCGCCACAGCCCCGGGCTTCAACATTGAGCCTTTGCCCACTGATGGTCCTGTCCTACTCGGTGGGGGAAAATACGAAATTTCCAAGACCCAGCCCATTATTGCAATCCTGTCCGCTGTCAACCGCGATCCTGCTGTCTTTGATGACCCCAATGCTTTCAAGCCCGAGCGCATGCTCGGTGAGGCCTTTGACCGGCTCCCAAGCGGTGTGAAGAAAGGGTTTGGCAACGGGAAACGTGTGTGTTACGGTAAGCGATATGCTTGGGAATGGTCCATGCATGCACTCATTCGCATCATTAAGGATGTTGACTTTGAGTTGGCGGATAAGGACTATACATTTGACATGGAAGGGAATAATTTCAATGGCGCTTTCACTGTCAAGCCATACGGCATGTTTATAAAGACCAAGAAGAGGAACGCCGCCGTTTAATCTGGGTAGAATGGCACATATGTATGGGATTGATATCATGATTTGCGTCTCTCGGGGTTGTGTTGATACCAGGGTTTGCTTTTGTTTCTCATACCAAATTGCCATGCAACCGAGAACGTACTTTTGGAATTAATAAAGCCGATGTTAATTTCTTTTATTGGACTTCACTTTGTTGCTGTGCGGACACTCCGAGACCTTACGAGACCAGCTCAACTATAATATAACCGATGCTTCTCACACAGCTGTTCCGTCTGTCTGCTTTTTGTTTTTAGACCATAATCGTTTCACTAAATCTCTGATTGAGTGTTTTGATCCCCCAATATCATAAAGTGGTCGATGCTCCTCATTGACATCATGCATGTAATCATAATCAACATGTACAAAGGCTCGCTCGACATCTGCCAGCCCTTCCAACTTACGCTGCAGCGCTTGGCTTACATCGTGAGATTCGCGAAGCTTAGTCTCAGGGTCCATGACAATATCAACCTCAACATAGAGTTGCTGGCCGGAATGATAAGCGCGACACTATGTAAAGTCAGTCAAAATGCCAATAATAAATCCACCAAATTCACCTCCAGAACTTACCGTATCAACCTTCTGAATCCTCTGGTCATGAGTCAGTGTCACATAGATACACTTATTCACAAATTCACGTGGAGCACATTTGCCCACAAGCAACCACATATTCTCAAACGCCGTCGACGCCCACGAGAACAAAATAAGCAGCGCAATACAGCATGCGCCCACAGGATCAAGATACCACACAAATCGATCACCCACAACCGACATGATCAGCCCAAATCCATTAACAGCCAGATCATTCCGATGATCAATATAAAAGACATGAGCAGCCGGGTACCGGCGCAAACCATAGCAGTACAAGAGCATACAGAACTTGGAGAAGATAGCAACGCCAACACATATCAGCGGCACGATATGTAGCTTCTCAGACTCTGTCTTTCCCGCCGCAAGCGCCTTGGCTGATTCAATGATCAATTCCACCGCCACGATGGTCATCAATGCACAGAACATTATCACTCCCATTGTTTCGACGCGGCGCCGTCCAACAGGGTATTTGTATGGCTTTGGGCGAGAGGACATGCGTGATGTGACTAGCATAACAACGGAGGAGACGAGGTCCATGAAGGCGTCTGCGGCGGTGGCGAAGAGTGCTAGAGAGCCGGTCGTGACGGCTGCGTAGAGTTGGATTATAAAGAGGAAGAAGTTGACTGTGAAGCTGCCGCGTACGGCGAGCTTTACTTTGCCGCCGTTTTGGGCTTCGTCTTCAGCTTTGAGGCGCTCTTCCTCGCTAGCGGTGAGGAAGCCATCGATCATTTCATTTTGTTCTTTGTAGAAGCCGGTGAGCTTTTCCTTTTCGTTGAAGGAGTATGGGACCCAGTTCTTTTTTGGTTCGGATATAGTTGTTTTGTATTGGTTGAGGTTTAGAGGGTCTTCGAGTGTCATTTTGTGTGGACCAAAATATAGGTCAGGGTTGATTAATGTAGGATGATGGTTCAGGGAGGTAGGGCTGAAGATGAAGATCAGATAAGACAAGAAAATCTTCCGATCCTTGGGACATTAAGTTTAGGGGTAAAAAGCCCACGCCAAGACGTCCGGTGTCTCGAACAGCTTCAGTCCCTTGGCATTGTGGCAGTGCCTGCAGAGTTTCTCTTAGCTTAATGGATTTGGCGAGTCATAGAACGAGTTGTGATGTTAAATAATTGGAGATCTTTCGAGATGACTGAAAAACCAGAGCTTCCAATCCATAAGGATTTGAGCGTTCATATTGATGACTTCTATGGGTCTAGTTCTGCAGAAAACACAGGTACAATTTGATCTAGTATTGAGAATAACGAATCAATACTACGGAGTAGAGGGAGTATACTATGGACGGGAAATTTGTTAATTTTGGAGCCTAAGACTAGGCATATTTCATTGCTCCAAATATATATATCCACAACTTCATACACCTTACCTCTTTAAACCCCAATTTACATAATAGCTAGATACTGTATGTATGTTTTTCATGGCAAAAGATACTTGCACAATATCTAAAGCATCTCCTAGTTCCAAGCTAAGACCAAAAGGTACGAGGAACAAAAGGGCCAAGCCCAGAAAAAGTCCTAACCTGGCCATCTATGCAAGTTCGAAATCCATGCTTATGAATACTCTGCATTTTTAGTGTCTGTTCTATAAATTGTTTGACTAAACTTCAATCATGTATGTGACATCCCGGAGTACTGCAAGTCAGCCTTCACCATCATATCTACATATACAGTAAGGTTTATTTTCCGGACCTGCTTCAACTCAAGGGGGAAACCATAAGTCCCCGGGATATATTGATGAGTTTTCCGATTGGTGCCATAAGGTCGTCCGCGTCAGAATCCCGGTAATATCATTCCACGCGTTATAGCTTCCTGATTCAAGTCTCTCCTTGATCAGACATTTTCGAGTATCAAGTGACGTAGTCCAGACGGAAGTAAGCCGAGCTTACTCACAAAATCAAGAAAAAAGAAAGGAAAGGAAAGGAAATCCTGTTTGTTTCATAGAAGATCTATGGAGGAGCTTTCTCAGCGTTTCCACAGAGACAATGTCCCTGCATAAGGGCAAGTCGATCTATTGCGAATCCAATAATCAAGGGAATCCATACGAAGGCTATAGCTACAAATCCCGAGCTGGGCTTTGGCAACTCAGGAAACGATCCCCGTGAGCAAAGGTGAGGGGAGGGAGCTATGAGAGCTACGAGCATTCCTGAAGCATCCGAGCTTCCCAAGGCCTTGGAAGTCCACCTTCCAATCGCGATCTTCTGAACAGGCATGTTGAGCACATCAGAGCTCTTGCATCAAAGCTAACTAAGAAAAATTGTCCGGTGATCGGATCATTTGACTCCCCTCCCTTCATTCCAACTCCTTAGCTACAGCTGTAACCTTGCCCGGAGAGCTCGGGTCCTGGATAAATGTGAGGAATGCTAGAGCGGATTGTCATTCGGAGGTTTTTTTTTACCAATTAATCTTTAGTGTTTAAATAAAAGAGCTTGACAGCTCGGAGTTCAAGATTCGGAATAATTCTCCACGAGACTGTCTCAGCAGAATTTCGCCTAACATGACCTCCAAGGTCTTACAGAACAATACCAACAGCAGCTGGATCAGGGATCCAGGGCTGCGGAAATTAAACCTGGGGATCGGGTTTATGCTATCTGCATCAGCTACAGCCGGATATTGTGCTAGCATGATCAATGGCCTCCTGGTGCTTCCCGAATGTAGGCATCTATACATCTATATTATATGGAACAGAAAGCTAACAAAAACACAAGTCTCCAAATTTCTGGGTGGTCTTGACACAAATGCGAGAGGTCTTATTATCGCAGCTGTCTCGCTTGGATCTTTTAGCTCCTTCATCCCCGGATCTTACATCGCCGACAATTTGGGGCGGAGGATCTGCGTTCTCATCGGCTCCTCGCTAGTGATCATCGCCTCCATTATTCAAGTCGCGACAAACCATCCTTGGGTCTTTTTCAGTGCTCGTGTTCTAGCTGGAATGGGAGTCGGAATCTCACAAACAGCTGCACCGTTGCTCATTACCGAATCAACACATCCACGCCAACGACAGGCCTTCACAGGTCTATACAATGCACTGTGGTTCATTGGGTCAATCACGTCAGCTACTATTGGCTTTGCTGGTCTCACAGTCATAGGGAGTTGGTCATGGAAGCTCCCCTGCTTAACGCAGGTGTTTTATCCAATCCTTCAATTGATAGGTCTTTGCTTTGTTCCCGAAAGCCCAAGATGGCTGGTCTCTCGTGGTAGAAAAGAGGAGGGAATGGCAATGCTGGCAAAATACCACGCCAATGGAGACGAAAACGACGAACTTGTCCAAGATGAATTCTACCAGATTTGCAAGAGTATCAACGCCGAATCCGATAAGAGCTGCCGCCGCTGGAGCACTTTCTTCGCAACCCGGAGCAACATGCATCGCCTATCCATTTGTGTGATTCTGGGATTCATGCAAGAGTGGTCTGGAAATGGTATGCAAAAAGAAAACCCCCTTCCCTACGACACAATTTCTAACCAAGTTTCTTTTTTCTCCCAGGCGTTGTTTCTTATTATCTAGCACCGATCTTAGCATCGGTCGGTATATATAATGCATCTCACCAGGCTGCCATCAATATAAGCATGCAGGTGTGGAACCTGGGATTTGCGGTCGCTGGAGCAATGGCTGCAGAACGTTACGGACGTCGGAAGCTTTGGCTAATCGCAACAATGCTGATGTTCATCTATCTCTCTGCCGCCACGACCATGTCCGGTCTTTTCCAGGAGATGCAGGTGCTGGAAGCTGGCATTGCCGTGGTTCCCATGCTTTTCCTCTTTTGCAGCGCTTATGATATGGCATATATGCCCTTGTTTATTGCATACCCCGCCGAAATCCTGCCCTTCCAACTCCGCGCCAAGGGTCTTGCTATCACACTGACCACCGATTCGATGGCTTGCTTCTTCAACCAATATATAAACCCAGTTGCCTTGGCGGCAATCCACTGGAAGTACTTCACGGTGTATCTGGGTTGTCTTGTGATTTTCATGGCAACAATCTACTTCCTTTTCCCGGAGACTAAAGGTCTGTCTCTGGAGGAAGTGGCCCGGATCTTCGAAAAGGAGAGGACTTACCAGGTGGAAACGCACAACTCGGATGTTTCGCAAGAGTTGCTCGTGTTCCAGAAGGGCAGCACCTCATCCTCATCCTGATTGTGATTGTAATTTTTGTTGCTGTTGCGTGTTGTAATTACGACAGTGCTCGGTCCTGAAACAGTCCCTCGCAGGCTAGTCCTAGCTGACTGGATATTGATGTTATCCAGGTGTCTCTATTTGCTGTTCAAAGTTTCATGTGGAATAGCAAACATCCTATAGATAGATATGTAGAGATTATACACCGTTGTCTTATGGTGTCAATTCAAATTGCATGTTTTTAATAGAACAGATATGACAGTCATAATTACATGTATTTAGCCAAGGTCATTGGTATGTGAGACATACAAAGTTCCGATGTGAAGTCCTGTAAGGAGTTCCGATGTATATACATCTTCACCGACCAATTAGAAACCACTAGTTTCTAAAACTAAGCCACACCTGGACTAGCGTCTATTCTTATCCAAAACCGCATATCAACCTGGGCAGCTCTCTAGCTAAAGTCCAATTTGATCAGCTCAAACTCCTCTCACCAAGTTACACTCAAAATCAACTATCTACTACATTTATCTTCTACTGCATTCATCTCATTCAACTCCACAAAAATGACCAAATACGAAACAGCCCTCGAGCGCATCGACGCAGCGCACGCCGATGACCCCCGCCAAGCCCAAACAGCCACTGGTCCAATCCCATACGAACTGCACTACGCGCAGAAAATGACCAGCTATCTTTCAACCCTGAATCCATCTGCACCAGAACTCCTGAAGCTCGCAATCCGTGCCCAGCACCTACGTCGCTGGGAAGTTCCGCGGGACAGCTACCCCGCTACGAAGATCGGATATCACTCATGGCGGGCGGGGCTACAGAGGCGACAGGCTGCGCTGGTTGAGCAGATCTGTGTTGAGAGTGGGTATTCAGCTGAGGAGGCGGCGAGGGTTGGCGCACTGGTGCGTAAGGCGGATCTTAAGCAGGGGGATCCTGATACGCAGACTCTAGAGGATGTTGCTTGTCTTGTATTTTTGGATGATCAGTTTGATAAGTTTGAGGCGGAGCTTGCAGATGAGGAGAAGATGATTGATATTCTGCGGAAGACCTGGGGGAAGATGTCGGAGCGGGGGAGGGAGGAGGCTTTGAAGATTCAGTTGTCGGATAAGGCAAAGAAATTGGTTGGGATTGCATTGAGTGGGTGATTCTTTAGTGTTCTTTTGTTCTATATATCCCTATATCCTAGATAACTAGTACCAATGCCTTTGGATTTGAAATCCTGTAACTTGATGTGGGAAATGAATCATGATTCGTGAAATGTGTATAATACATGAGAGCCTCTTTGTCCTTGAAACGCCCGCTGGTAGACCCATAACCCGAGTCACACCAGGATGAGAAAAACAGTAGGAGTAGAGAGAAAGCAAAAACTCCGAATGCTGCAATGCATGAACGCTCAATGCAACGTGAAAATCAGGACCATCACAAATCAGGTGTGACTACTGCCCATATCAATGAACTGGACTAATCCAATTGCCGCACCAGCAGCGACACCTCCAACGCAACACATCTGCATTCCACCCCAAATCCCAGCCACCACATTGGCCCGACCAGACCAGCCACGTACAACACAGGTCTTGACATACCCAAACACAAGCAAGGTAATCGCCATAACACAGATACTCCAATACAGCGCAACCATAACCTGCGAGGCAATGAAGTACGGAATAAGTGGAATAAACCCGCCAATAAAATAGCCCAGCGCGAGGGTAATGGCCGATGTCCATGCTTGGTTACAGTCAGGTGCAATCTCGCGGTGATGGAAAGCAAGCAGGAACTCAAGGAGTCGGTCTTGAGATGCATGCAAGTCATGTGTGATATCCGCAATCGCCGAGTCTGAGAGCCCGTACGGAGAGAAGGTCTCGCGCACCATGGCGCGAGTCTCTTGCGAGTCCATTTGGATTAACTGTTGTGTTTCACGGACTGTTGTTTGATATGATTCACTGGTTGTTGTTAGAATACATGCTGATTCGTTGCCATGGGATAACTTACGCTTCACTCTTTGCCCCGACATATCCACCGAGTCCCATAGAGATGGCTCCGGCTGCTAGTTCGGCGAGTCCACCCAGAACAACCACTTTTGTATTTCCGAGTGCTGAAAGTCCGGCACTCAGGGCAAACGGCACTGTCAGTCCGTCTGAGAGACCGAGGATAGCATCTGAGACGATACGTGGGTTGATGCGTGCGCGGGTGCTGCTGGTGCTGCTACTGCTGGCTGTTGTTGTTGATTCATCTGGGCTGTCGCACCGTCCAAAGGTGTTATAGGAACGGCTGCTTTGTGACTCGAGGTCTTGATCGGAGTCTCCGTGGATGGTATCTTCGTCGTCAATGCGGGCGAGGAGAGGTTTGCCTAGAGTTAATTTGCCGTAAGTATATGTCTGAGTATGTATTCACTTTCCCCCTGCTTACCTGAGTGTATTTTGTCTGATTCCCTTGTAGGGAAGAGCTTCTGCTTGATGAAGAGGAATGCCATGATGCTCCAGGAAACTGTTATCCAGATATGCTTTTGGATATCCAAGGTACGATGTACAGCAGAACTTCAGTTACGAGCCGGCGAGAGGGAGAAGACAAGATGAAAGAAGTCAAGCTGGAAAATAATTGTACTTTATATGATCCAGTAGAAGAATCCGGAATGGGTTATTGTCTTGGTCTTGGATATCAACAAAAAGACTATCAAACAAAGTCGAAGAAAAAAGAAAAGAACTACGATCGGCCAAGTCCCTTTTTAACCACGGACTCTCAACAGTTCATTTGAAAAAAACACAGTAAAAGCCCACAGTTAATGCAAGTCAAACAAGAAAATAATGGAGGTTTATTCGCCAAGGAGGGGCTCAGGGCCAATCATAGGATTCTTAAATGTCAGCTTTTGACAGTCAAAAGGTCTAGGAGCTACTCCGTTTGAGCTTTGTCCACTTGAAGAAAATAGCACTTCAAATCCAACTGATACAATTGGTGAAGTATGTTGTGATGACCTTTGTTGGTGATGTTATTGGCTGCTACTGATGACCCGCATTCCAATCCGTAGATCTGTCGATCCCAGTATAAATTGGAATTAGGAATTTTGAAGAATCACGGCTTTCCCATTTTGACCTGGCCCGATTTTTAATATACAGAGAGGATGGAGTTCTTTATATATTTTAGAGTCGGTTAAACCCTCCTTTGTTCTGACGAATATCAGAAAATCCATGGAGTTTTGTATCTCCGACAATTAACCGATGAATTTATAAGAGTCTATTGCAACCTCGGACTTACTCCTTTCGGAAGTATAGCAGGATGGAGTTTTGTATATCTCCTTCAGATCGACACTAATACACAGTATGTATATGAAGCTTAGCATTCTGTGCCACATTACACTAAACACACAAATTCAAAGATAATAAAAATAAAGCGTAGGCGACCTGGTACAGACAGAGTTGACATGTACTCTGTAAGACATCGGAAGATACTATTAAGGTAGTTCAGTCTTACTTGGACGCCGGGTTGCATCGGAGAATAAGTAGATGGCTTGAATTGCATATCTGGGCTCTGCATCATGTACTGTATGGCATGATAAAGGTTGGGATATCTTGAATAGGTACGTTTTTATTCATTTCTGTTCATTTTCAATGCCAATGTACTCAATACATACAATGACCGATCATTATTTATCGGCCTTCCGCACGCTCTACCAGCTGATCCTCCAATCCCATTGGCTCCCAGATGTCCTTCGCCTTCTTATTTTGCACCCACACCACATCCCCTTGAACAAAGACCACAACTCCACCCTTGCCCGTGGCACTAGCCGTAATACGGAAGAGGGGTTGGCCGTTTTGTGGATGAGCCTCACGCAAGGGTAGCATAATAAGTCCCTGCTCCAAACACCACCCTTCTAGGATGTCCTTGAATGCAACTTCTTCCACAACTGGTGCCTTGACCCGAGGTTCGGGAGTAGCAGTAGCGGCAGCAGCAGCAGCAGCAGCAGCAGCAGCCACCTTATCTTCCCGCGTAGGAAGTTCCCGTGCCGCAGTTGGGCGTGGGAGTTCGGCAGCAGCACGATCACCGAGCTGCAAAGCAAGGTCCATGGTTTTCAAGCCCTTGTTCCATTCATCATCAACGATGGCAAGCTCGTTGACCTCCGCCGGGATCTGAGTGCCCCACCAAGAGAACCAAGCTCCGACCTCCTCGTAGTTAGGATCGTTCGTAAGCCAGATGTAGAGAATCTCATGCCACTTGGGGAAGAAATCAGAAACTAGTAATAGTCCCATGACATTGGGCTTGAAGAACGGCTTCCAGCATAAGACATCCTTGAGGGCTGTGAGGTCTTGATCCTGTGGATTCACAGTAAAGTCCTCGCGCAGATGACGGGCAAGTCGTGGCAGGAGGTGGTTGCGTAGGCATACATCAAATTCGGACCCTAGGGCGTCCCGCCAGATTTCAACACGATCGACCAGACCCTTGCGCAGACTACATGTGTCAAGTACCGAGCGGAACTTTCTCTTCGCGTCAGACATGAGACCAGTGGGCTGTTTCGGGTTGGTGTGTCGTTCATCCAAGTATTGAAGCCAAGTGAAGAGCCACCAGGGGAACTTTCCATCTTGTTCAGAGCCGCCATGTCGTCGGCTAGTTCGAGGTTTCCAATTCTTCAGGGCTACGCCCAGCTTGGGAACGACCAATTGGTCGAGAACGTTTGCATACACAAATGGCGGTACAATCGCCTTCCAGGCCACGACCAGCGCGGTTGCCTTGGACGGGTCATAAACATCCCAATCGTTCAGGAGTGCTGAGCGTACTCGTGGGAGCCACAGGGTGTAGATCATCGTTTCGTAAGGTGAGGTGGATGCCCGTTTCCGGGGCTCTTCTAACTTATTCGTCCGAGACAGAAGAGGCTGAAGACGGGTGAGGTTGGACACGAGGAACGTGGGATCTTGAAGAGGCTCCCATTCGTCCATGGCTTGGCGGAATAACGGGTGTAGAGCTGCGACTGCGGTCTCTGGAAGTCGGTGCTCATCAATAGAATCTCGATATTTGGTTTCAATATCTTCAAGCTTGTTCGTCATCTCATCAAATTTGGTCGTGATGCTTTCGTCGTGTTCAAAGATATCCAGTTCTTCCACTGCGGCGATTAGGCCTGTGAGATGATTGAGTCGGGATTGATAAGCATCCAATTCGTCCACGACTTGAGCTTCCTCAAGTTCGATGAACAGCTTTCTCTCCTTTAATCCTTTCCATTCATCCGCAAATGCTTCCAGGTCATTCCGGGCCCGCTGGGCAATTTTGAACGCTTCTCCTTCTTCTTGGCTGACGAATTGTTGTGTCGACATCAGGCCAGCAGTCGAAGTGAGAACACGCTGCTCTTTTCCGGTGGCATCGACGAGTGATTTGAGAACATTGGGAACCTCAAGTCCTTCCATATCATCTTCAATCTCGCGCGCTGTGCGGAACTTGGGCTTGGCACGCTGGACTGGTGTACCTGTGCCGCTCCGACTCAGTGTCTTGCGCTCCTCCTTCTTCTTTCGCCGCCGCTGTCGTTCTTCCTCGGAGCTGTCTTCGAGAATCTCGCCCTTCTGTGCAGCTGCTCGTCGCTCTTCTTCACGGGTCTTTTTCGACTTCTCACTCACTGCGCCCAGGCCTGCACCCTGGGGTCGCGCCTGTACCTCAATCGGGTTGACGATACCCTGGCCAGTAGTTCCGAGACCTTGTCCTTCCTTGTAGCCCATCTTGGCCATCATGCGTGCGGCAAAACTGTTGGCTCCTCCTCTACCACCACCTCCCATGCCTTTCCCACCTCGTGATGAGCCTCCACCTCGAGGGGCCATGGTGTTGCGGATATTGCTGGCTCCACTACCTAGTCCAGCCATCGTGGGGGGCGATATGGAGCGAGAGGCAGCTCTGGCAAATCCTCGAAAGCCGGTGGTCGGGCGCGTCTTTTCTTCATCGGAGCTCATGTCAGCGACTTTGCGCTTCTGGCCAGAAAAGGAAGGCGACTCCATCTTTTCAGGGGTTCATTGGCAAATTGTGGCCAAATGGACTGTCCCCTCTGGATTTCAGCAAAAGTAAAAGTAGACAAGTAGTATACTAGCAGAATGGGTCTCAAGTCAAGAGCTCATGAAATTCACGTGGGGATCGGAAGCGGAGCAATGAAGTTCCGACCCGACGAAAACAAGATGACGTTAGAGTCGGTTACTTCATAGCTCCGCCTCAACTTTTCCTTTGAAGTCATTTGTCTCTCACAATTGACGCCCTTAGTTATTCTTTTTCACCCGTACATTCAGTTCTAACACATATCCTCACAATGGCTGCTCTTATTAGCAACTCTGCCCGTGTTGCCCTTCGCTCGGGAGCTTCGGCTACCTCCAAGGCCGGAGCTGCGGGCTTGACCTTTGCCCGCGGCAAGGCCACCCTCCCCGATCTTTCCTGTAAGTTGAGTGTTTTAGTGCCTACTAGAGCTCTAGAGTTGTATTTGTCTATTCTATCCATTTGTATCAAAAATTTCATACTGATGTCCAAAACAAGACGACTATGGCGCCCTTGAGCCCTCCATTTCCGGCAAGATCATGGAGATTCACCACAAGAACCACCACAACACCTATGTGACCAGCTACAACAACACCATGGAGCAGCTCCAGGAGGCCCAGGCTAAGGGCAACATCGCTGCTCAGATCGCCCTTAAGCCCGCTGTCAACTTCCACGGTGGTGGCCACCTCAACCACACCCTCTTCTGGGAGAACCTGGCCCCCAAGAGTGCCGGTGGCGGCGAGCCCCCCTCTGGTGCTCTATCCAAGGCTATTGACACCACCTACGGTGGCTTCGGCGACTTCCAGTCCAAGATGAACGCTGCTCTTGCCAGCATCCAGGGCAGTGGCTGGGCTTGGCTCGTGAAGGACAAGCAGACTGGACAGATCAGCATCCGCACCTATGCCGTAAGTTAATTTTGATGATTACGCTTGGTACGGACCGCTCTAGTTACTAACCCCATACCAGAACCAGGACCCTGTCGTCGGCCAGTTCGAGCCTCTGCTTGGTATTGACGCTTGGGAGCACGCTTACTAGTAAGAAATCCTGTTTTGATGATTCATTACTTATACTAATCATTTATCTAGCCTCCAATACCAGAACCGCAAGGTCGAGTACTTCTCCGCCATCTGGGATGTCATCAACTGGAAGACTGTCGAGAAGCGCTTCGCTTAAATAACCATATTTCATTTGTAACTAAATGCTGCTATGATGTCTTGGCGTTTCAATTACCCCTGTATTGTAGCATGTGTTTTTCAATATTATCAATTTGGTATAAAATTCTCCTATTTAGCAATTTCCTGTTCCTCTCGAAAGCCGATGAATGTGGTAGACCGGGCCGGGCGGACCGCGTAATGCGGAAGATCACCGCAAGCATCCGAAACGCAAGACCCTGATATTCTCCATCTAAGCCTCGAACACTTGCATTCATTGGCAACTCCATGATGTCGGCAGAAAGTCCTGGCCACAAGAATGGCTTCAAGTCATTTTTGTCCAATGCATTGCGTCCCAAGAAATCCCGCCAAACCCTCCGCAAGGGCAGATCGACCACAGACCTGCGGCTGGCCGCGCGCTCCAGTGTCGAAGAAGTCCCTCCAATGCCAGAGCTGGCTCCATTGCATGCCCATAGACTCAAATACAAGGAGTTGCACTCGCAAATTGACTCACAGCTGGGTGAGCGAAGAGATTACACAGAAATCATCCATACGATAGGCACACTCGACGTCAACGATACCAGCGCTCTAACCTACGAGGGAAATGAAAATCGACCCCCAGGCGAGGGTGATATAGCAAGTCTACCACCAAAGCTATGGGCGCAAATAGCAGGACACTTGAATCCCGCCGAAGCAGCAAGTCTAGCAGTCGCCAGCATCACGTTATACCGAAGACTGGGCCCAAGATATTTCATGGCTCTAGACCACCCAGACAACCACACCCATAAGATCAACTTCCTCTCCGGCCTGGACATGTCCCTCCCACACCACCTCCTCTGCCTCCCCTGCGTAAAATATCACAGGCGCACACAAGAAGGATCCGAACGCATTCGCCCAAGCCACGTCCTAAACCCGCTCTTTAACTGCCCAAACTCAACAAACCCCCTAAAACCACCGCCCCGCCACCGCATAACCCACGGCCGCAACATCACATTCTCATTCGTGCAACTAGTTATGCGCGCCCACCGCTTCGGCCCCAGCTACGGCCTCGCACCAGATGAACTTGGCCGACGCTGGCAGCGCGACAACTGGTCGCACACATCGCGCTTCCACGTCAACGAAGGCCGGCTCTTAATGCGTGTCACCAGTCAGACCTTCGCGGACCCAGGTCTCACGCCATCCGCGCAGCGCATGCTCCTGTACTCGCGCGAAGACTACTGGCCGTACTTTAGCGCGTGCGCGCACTGGCGCGACGGTGAGCTGATGCCGGCGTGTAAATGTGCGCTGGATCATATTCCGCGGCCGCGGAGTACTGGCGGATTACAGGGGCTTGAGCACCGGGTGAAGGACCGAATTGCGGGACAAATATTCGATCCGAATGCGCTGACGACGCTGTGTGGGTTTTGTCGACCGATGCGGAGGTGTCCCGAGTGTCCAACTGAGTATCTCATTGAGGTTAAACTGAGCGAGGATCAAATGGATCGCAGGTTCAGGCAGTGTATTGTTGTTACGCGGTGGAGTGATCTTGGGGATGGAACTACGCCTGGTGGGATTGAGTGGGGTGCTATCAATGGGAAACGGGATGATTATGATTCTTTCGTGCATTATGCTAAGCGTGGGATTGCAAGTATATTCGAGGCGGCTTTCACGGCGGATACGCTACCTGGACAACGGGTTGTATCGCTGAATCCGAAGAAGAAGAAGCTTGGAGAAGCCGGGAATCAGTGGTATTAGGCTTCTGGCTGAGATCTAATGGATAGTGGAGCATTCTTGGGGGTTTCTTTCTGATATTTATCATGCTTTGACTACTGTATATCATGCTTGGGTGTTTTGGGAAGTGAAAAAGACTGGAGTTGGGAAGAAAATGGACTGGAAGATTTACTTGGAGTTAACTGAATTTGATCTTGATATTAATATTTGATATTGCAACCTTTGCCTTTGCCGTTGCCTCGTCTTTGTCCTTGTGAGGACACCAGGCTTCCCCTTCCACGTCTTTACCAAGTCATATCGTTTCCATCTCTTTCCTTCCCAACTCGGTGGGAAATAGCACCACACATACATTGACACTGCTGCCTGGTTCGTTTTGTGCCTGCAAAATATCCCTCTCCTCCCACTTCCTCTTCCGATCTACTCCTATCACTTCATCAACACAACTTAACCAGCCCACACCAGTGATATCCATCACGATGTCCACTTCCCCAAATCCCAGCGCTGAGTCTACCATTTACCTCCCAATGTCTGGCTCTCCAATGACCGGTGGCAGTTACTGGACATATTTTGGGACCGGCGAGCCCCAGGTCTGGGCGTAAGTTTTGAGGTCATTCCATCACTGATTCAGGCTAACGAATGTCAGGAACCCCCCCAAGATGATTTGTGACTGCGGAACCCACGGCGCATGGCAGTGGCCCACCCAGTATGCTGAGCTCGTACGTATCCCAAATAACCTTGCCTGAGTTCAAGGCTAACATGTCGAATCGTTTCTAGACAATCGCTCCCTGCGCATTCAGATGTCCCTACTGTGATCGGTTCAACAAGGCCGGAAAGACAACACACCAGGCCTCGAACCTCCGCCGCCACATCCGAGCAACGCACATTGTAAGATCTTGATATCCCATTTGATTGAAGCCTTGCTCATATCTACTAGCAGGGACATCCTATGGAGTATGGTACTCTTGTCGTCATGCCTGGAGGAACTCAGAATCAGGCGTATGAAATGACCCAGTATTAAGATGACAAAGCTTGACCTAAGCTAACACTCTAGATCTCGGAATTCTTTGCGTTCTAGATTATCTCTATCCACAGCATTTTGTCTCTATTCACAGCATGATGAGAACTATCACGTGGATATGCTACATCGGTTGTTGACAGCCAGTGAAGCCATTCAAGGCATAAGGAACTTATGGGATGAAGGGGAAAAGACATGTTTTGCGCCCACCCCTGTATTATCAACTCAGTAATGCATACATTGGGTTGCTTTTGAAATCACAGTCACGTTTCGTACAGTCGTTCCAAGAGTAGTTGGCCCCTGATGCTATGTTGCCATGTCTTTTCGGCAGTATCTTTTGGTAGTCTTCTCGAATACCCCTTTACGTAAAATGTGCTTTTATAGATATTTCCCTATTATTGATGTGATAGCTAAAGTGAATAAGAAGTATTAACCGCGAAATATAGAATATAGGCATCGAAAAAAGTGTACAATTTGATTCCAGTAACATAACTCAGACGATGCGAACATCTGCATTTGAAGTTAACCATGCCAGCAGGATCAACATCGAACATTCAATTTTAGATCCTTCTTAAACATGCAGAAGCCTGGAGTCGTGATTCGCATACATCAAGAATAGAAAGACATGAGATGAAATAAGAAGAGCTCATAATACACAAAGGACATTCAAGTGAAGAATAAGAGCGAAGGAAACACAATGTAGCCATGCTACTGTGTATACAGGGTGGGTATCACATAGTACAAATGGGAAAAGAAGCATGGTAGAGGCAAAGAGAGGTGGAGGAAGAAAATAAAGAATGAAGAGTAAGGCAGTAAGGCCTGCTTCTGGAAAAGGTCAACCCCTGCGAGCACGACGACCCATATACCGAGGCCGTCTCGCATGGTCATCGGAATGAACAGCCATCTCGGAGTGGGATCTAGCATGGGTTTCCATGGAGTCCGGCGTCTCAGCACGGGGGATTCCAAGCCCATGAGTAGTTTCATACGCTAGACGTGAGGGAACGCGGTTCTCTTTCTCGGCCCCGGGGACACCCACGGAATCTGAACGTTTACTCTTGATCCAGCCAAAGATACCCAGTGAGCTGCGCCGCTTGTGCTCGATGTCGCCATGGGATGTGGCGGGTCGTCCTGAGACTGTTGCAGCGCCGGGGCGGTCAGCAAGTCTTGACATTGTCAATGATTGGGGGAGTCCTCGCGATCTGGGAGCTGGGAGCGGCTCTTCATTGTTGATTGGGTTGGAGGGGTACAGGTCGGTTGGGGCGGGGATTATTTGCGACATAGGTCTTCGAGAGGCGCCACCCATTATTCTGCTTTTAGGGATTACAGGGGATGGGGCGCCGTCTTCATCGTCGTCTTCGAAGTCGTTTGGAATTGGTGAGCCATGTAGAGGATGCGGATTGTTGGTTGAGCGGTTGAAGAATTGAGGTATGAAGCTGAGGCGTCGACGGGGCTCGGGGTTGGCTTCAGGTTTGGGTTCTGACTGGGCGAGATCAAGGGGTTGTTCCAGAATATCGAGAGTGGCCATATCAAGACTTGGGATACCAGGGACTTCGGGCTCGCTTGGCTCCGAAGTGACGCTGGTATCGTCATCGAGGGTAGCTGGACTGGCGGCAGTGCGTGATGATAGCTCTGTCTGTTGAATTTCGTGGCGGGTGTCACGCGGGTTTGGCTTGCGAGACCCTGGACCCTGCTTTGCAGCTGCAACCCAGTCTTGAGGTGTGAGTGGTGAAGAGTCGCCATCCCTGGTGCGCGGCTCCGGTGTCATAGCCTTGAGTGGGCTACGGACACGTTTGATTGTTGGGGTTGATGCTTCTTCGTTGGCATTTGCGCGGTACATATCCCCAAGAGTCTCAATGGAGGGGTTGCTAGGGCTCCCCGGCCCAAGAAGTGCGCTGGCTTTGGAGGAAACAGGGTTGAAGGAGGGCAGAATAGTGCGCGACTCATCAGCTGTGACTCCTAGACGTGGAGTATCACTGCAATTGGTTTGCATGCTGTCGAAAAGCCCGCTGTCATCGAAGCTGCAGCGACTGGCTATCTCTTCTGCAGAACGTGGGCGATTAACTCGCCTACCAGTGAAAAACTGATCCTGCTCGATCTGTGGGCTTTTTCGGGCTTTAATGCTCCCATTTGAGCCACTTGACCGGTTTGCGCCGGTAGCATATGCCGTACTCATGGTGTCAGGAGTGGGAGGAAGCCTGATGCCACCGAAAAGAGATGCGTCCAGTCGTCCACGTCCACGCGGCTTGGGAGCGTACAAGTCTGTTGTAAAACTAGAGATACTAGCCTTAGTAGCATCGGATGATGCTCGGTTCCTGCGTCTCGTGATTATAGTCTGGTTTGCGTCCTCGCGGGTCTGCATCCACCGATCGATCTGGTCTGCTTTGCTTTCTTCCCGCCCGTTGGGGGGAATATAGCTGTCCAAGCTGCCTGCAGTCGACGACGCTCTCCGGAGAGGAATCTCAAGCTGATCAAATTCCTGCCACTTCGTAGGCGTGTCGAACGGATTCAGCTCACTGCATTCGCTCAGGACGCTCAGTCTGGGTGACTCGGGCTCCATAATCTCGGTGGTCGTGTGGAAGCTCTCTGATTTCGAAAGTTCAGTCCTTGCAGAGCGTGACTGGATTTCTTCTTCGGGCGCGTAAAGGCTTCGCAAAGTAGCAGTACTTTTGTTATCTGCTCGTAGGAAGGAAGGTGCTTTCGAGAGTTTGCGTAGCTCAGAAGATGTCTGGCGATGAGCTACACTTAAGACACCTGAATTTCGCTTGGAAGAGGTCCTCTTCGGGATCTCAATCATGGCCCGTGGTTTTGGCGCGAAGGCCCCGGACCCATCGGCAGTCATCGGGCGTGACAAAGATAGCTTGGAGGCCCGGGCGCCGTTCTCCAGCATGTCAAGTTTTGATTCCAACTGGCAGATAAGCTCGACGGCTTCGGTAACAGCCAGGTCTCGCTTGTCAAGCTCGATGCGGAGTTGCTCGTTAGATTCGCGTAGAATCTGGTTTTCTTTCTCAGTAGTTCGAAGGTCCTCCACCTCCGCTACCAAATCGCCCATGTGTGCTAGTTGTTCTTCCATCTCCACCATCCGTTCCAGCTTCTTTTCATACATAGCCAATTGTTGTGTACGGTGGAAGACCTCGAGCTTCAAATCGAAATTGAGCTTGTTCATTTTTGAGACATACTTTGGGAGAGTCAGCTAGTCCATATGGGGTTCCCATACTCGTGAACTTACTTGGTCCATTTCCCGCATGCCCATCTCTTGCGGTTTCCTCTGACCAGCAGAGAAGACGTCATTCACCTTGCGTGCTTTTTCAGACGCAGAATCTTCCTGGGCTCGAGAGCTCTCGGGACCTTGAGGAACATTTTCTTTATAATCCTCTGACATTGTTCCCCGGGAGCTTCGGTGCGCGCGTTCTTCTTTCAATAAATCCTGCAAGAGAGCTGAGGCAGGGTTCACTAGTGTAGGGGTGCTGGGTTCCGGGGTTTCTGGGCGACAAATGATCAGTCACTTGTGCTCTGAAGTCATCCAACGTTGCTGACAATCAGAAGACATACTAGGTAAGCGGTTTGCCGTCCTTGTGCCCTGATGGATAGGTGACTGGTCTCCCAGCCATGAGACCTCTGGACTCATTCGAGGGGGAGTAAACATATTCGTTCGGCCCTTGACGCGAGAAAGCGATGGGTGTTGAGGACGTTCTGACGAGTCTTGAGGAATAAGCAATGTCAGCTTCAATCGATTAACCGTGAGTCTTTGAGACTCAACACAAGTAGGTGCAAGGTTAGAGACCACGTACTAGAGTGATCTTTGGAGGAAACACTGCGTTTGTGTGTAGCCTTGGGATGATAATCGGGGCTTCGAGAGTGCGAAAGAGCAGGCTGACCAGCGGCCGAGCCCCTTCTTTTAGGTTTCTCATCCATGATGGCTGCAGGCATAATGTTTACCGAATGCGCATAATTGACGTGCCGTGAAAAGCCCCCAGTTTCCCGGTTTGGACGCAGTACTGCAGTATCCTGGTCAATCAGTGGATACCACGATAACAATTCCCTGCGCAATCCACCAGCCGCATCGGAGGATTAATGGATCAATCCAGGGAGATCGATGTCAATTGGATAGACGTGAGATAATGTATTGGGATGATTGGATGGTGGTGGGTAACAAGCAGGTGCGATGCGAGGGATGCAGATGTGTCGCAGCCGTGGGGGCAATCAGAGACCTGTTTGTCGAACCTGTGGAGTGCAAGGTAGGTGTGTAGAGTCAATGGATCCGAATCAAGGCACAGAAACTCCCAGTTTCAAAACCCACTCAAGGGAGAAGGCGGGACACAAGTCAAACGAAGCGAGGGTGATGTCGCAAACGAATTGTGATGAGTCGATCTTAGACTCAAAAAAGTAAAAGTAAAAAGCGCCCCACTGTAGATGTTGATATTTTGTGTACAATTAGAACGTTGTCCATTAAAACACCATAGGAACCGTTGTTATGAGAGAGGTTAGGAATGGAAGAATCGAAGAATGGAAATCAAATGTTTTTCCCAGCCCCTAAGGCTAGATTCAATAGGCTCCTTAGCACGGCGATCAATTAATCAATTGACACCAATCGGATCTGGGCCGGACAATCTCACTATGGCGGGGGTCTCTGATTTCATCTTGATTGGTATGGACAGAATTCCTTTTCAAATATCTTGGATTTGATGAATCTATATGGATACCTATTCCCCATATATTCCATCTAAGCTGTATACTTCAACATTAAAATGATAGATTTTCATTTCCATGGATCCAGATTCTATGTCTCCACCCTTTATGTCTTGGATATGTATCAGATTTAATTTATCCCTTAGGCATCGATTAATTTGACATATAGAGTATAATATGGAGTAATGAAACTAAAATCCTTAGGGAAAAAGAAATCACATTGTCACATAGGGTATGTATCATAACCTTAATGAGCGAGCCCAGCTCAGAGCCCATGAGAAATGCCTCATTACTTACGTTTCGCCTCTCCGGACCAGATCCGCATATCCTTGGCCCGGTCATGAGCAGCACGGAACACTATCGAACCCTATATGTTAGTGACCTCATCCTCCACAGATCTGAACAGGTCATAACCTACATTGTCGCTCTGTCTCATCTAGCCCGCGAAGGAAATCAACTCCACCACCGACTGTACCGCGCGAGTTGTGTGCATGGTCAGCAATCTCGGCCGCTCGTTTTTTGAATGCCTAACAGCTTGTTAGTCCCATCTCGGCCAATGAGCTGTCTTCACCAGCCGGAGATCAGTGCCACCTACATCTCCGAGAACATCCACCATCTCTTCTTCCTCAAAGAGTTCGAGAATCCGCTCGCTCAGGTTGTAAAAATGCGGTGCTAAAGCGCGCAAGTCAAGCGTGCGGGGATCTGCCTTCAGCGCATTCATCACCCGCTCCGAAAGCGCATCGGGCATGTCGAGTGTGACTAGACGGGACGTTCCTAGACGTGCCCTATAAAAAACACATAGATCATGTTAGGAACATAACAAAATTCCACATCTGGTCTTTTGCATAGGCTGAACTGGGACCTTACCCGATCGAGAGCATTTCACCTAGCCATAGTGGAAGATCGATCCGGGTTCCAGCTTTGATCTGTGCACGGGTTAGTGAGCTATATGGCCGGGCAGTGAAAAATAGAGCATAGAATCACATCTTCACCCGCATTCCCCTCTAGAATGCCAAGTCCGGGTACTTCGAGCTCAAATGTACACGGCAGTTTCTGGATCCAACGATGTGAGCTTTCGTTCATTCCTGCAAGTTGATGACGAGAGCATGCCACAACCAACTCACCTGAGCATCAGTCAAGATAGAGTCAATATCATAGTAAGACATTATGACACGTCGGAATGTTCATGTTCTGTTGATCGCAAAGTTGCGAGATTGAGGCGCGTCGATAACGGCGCGCGGTCACGTGCTACCCGCAGTTGATGGAGAAACCGATAACATCTATGTACCACAACTGCTGGAAATTGGGGATCTTCGTCTCTTTTCTGCCCTCGAATGGCTATGGCTTCACTACGACCTGACAGAACAGAACAAAATATCTTGACTGCCCAGGGTAATCTGGCACATTCGAATTCTCGCCTTATGTTGTATGTGTTTCATACTCTGCGACTTGGGAACAAAGGAGAGCCTCCTGTTGTTTCACATTAACTTCTTTTCTCTTGTTGTAAACACCACAAGTTTCAAGAAAAACCCCTACAAGGCCAAAAAGACAAATGCAGTTTTGCGCTTCACCCGAGCTTGAATTCCAGGCCCAGTCGCTAATCCCAGGGATAATGTACATGTCATAAACCCTACGTGGCATTTCACACATGAACGTATACACGCCATAGCGCATTATGGGATACTCCGTAAATGTATCTGAAATATGCTATAGTATTGCCAAATCGAATTGACTCAACAGCATCAGAAAACCTGACTCGCTTCGTTTCTTAGACCTCAACCAGTTTTGGTATACATCTTCAAGGATTCTTCCAATTCTAGCGTACGCCTACTTTTGAAATTGAGGTCGTAACATTGGTAATGTAGCCCTGGTCTGGTCCACTGAAGAATAGCTCAAGTTCATTGATGTGGGTTCATTCTGCTTTTCCATTCAGAGGGGGGGGGACCGGTTATTAGCATAACACACAAGCCGATGAACAGAGCGTGCATATGGCCTAGAGACATATTTCTTGCTTACACTGAAGAAGGTCAACCTCATATATTGCCGCAATAGCCTGGGTTTCCGTTCTCATCGAATGTCTAACCAGAGTGGAGATCCTTTATATAAACTACAAAATGTGAAAGCAGGATCATAGTAGCCGACTCAAATGCCAGACAGTTCGGCGAACGGATCGTGACTAGGGTCCTCATGTCGAGTATATTCGATGGTATTCGAGCTATGCCTCGCCACCTCGCTCCCATACATCTCTTCAATCCAGGCAAGAATAAGATCAATGCCAGCACTAATCCCCGAGGGAGACCACACATTACCATCAACGACCCATCTCGCACGATGAACCCAATGAACATCCACCGCCAAGGTCGTAACCTCAGCCCAGGCCATCTTATTCGTTGTGGCTCGTTTCCCAACTAGAACACCAGCTCGCGCCGCAAGCCCCGAGCCAGTACACACGGTAACGAGATATTTCAATTGGGGATATACATCTCGGATGTAAGAGATCGCGTCTACGATTGCTGGGCTTGAGCCGCGCGTGCCCAGGCCATCTGGAATGAGAAGCAGATCTAGAGAAGGTGCGTCTAAGAAGGTGTGGGTTGGGACCACGCTTTGACCTATGGCGTTGGCGCATGTCGGTGGTTTTGTTGTCACTGGCTCTAGAGTCGAGGATAAAAGTGCCAAGGTCACATTGTAGCTCTGCGAGAGGATGTTGAAGCAGTCCATTGGGCCGAATACATCCATGGATTGGAAGCCTGGGAATAGCACTACGCCCATACGGAGAGGGGTGGCTTTGCCTTGTGATTCTGGACACTCAATCTGTTAATATGTGGAATACGTGCTGGAAGTGAGGGTCATACCAGACATATCGTTTGTAGTTTCAATGCTACTAGGAATAATGTATAAGCCCTTCTACATGTCGTTGAAGGTTTAATTTCTTTCAAGATTTTCATTAAAACGGGCTGTTTGGTCTTCATATACACCAGGCGTTGAGTCACAACCTTGCGTCGGGTTTGAGCAGATTAGTGCATAAACCGAAATGGGTCCGATTTTATATAGAAACCTGTGAAAGTATTAAGAAAAATCATAGGAATTTGTACGGATGTATGTGATCTGCCGTCACTGCCGTTTACATACAAGATCAGATTATTTCCCCGAGGAACGGTGATTATCGAGCCACAAGTCAGAGATTAGATGAGCGGGGGCACCTATACCCGCTTGTTCTTATACTCCGTACTCAGATCTTGACCACCCAAGTTCTTCACCTCTTCGAAAATGGCCGTCGGTCCCTGGATCTCTATTGCGATAGGAATATCCATGAAAGACCAACCATGCTTGTTATTCCGATGCGAAAAAGGTCATCTAGCCCGCGACTCTGAGTGCGACCTGAGGGTGTGATGGAAACTGGGTAGGACAGCTCGAATTTCCTCTCCTAGGATTCCATGGCGGTCAATTTATATCGAGAATGGTGTTTCCCCCCTGCAATAACGGCCTAGACAGGCAGCTAGCAGATTACCCCTACCAATTCCAGGAAAAGCGAGATCTATTTGATGTCACCTACGGAGTACAATTTGTCAAATAGCGCCTCCCTGAGAAGCACGAAGCTAAAATTGGCGTTGCCAAGTGGTCCGCAAAGCGGGTACGCATGCAGGCATGGGATCGTTTAGATGCAGCTCGACACGTTGAGACTGGATATAAGGTGATCGGTCACGGTTTCCAGGAGAAGAACAGGAACTCCTTGTCGATTGCTAAAAATATGATCCCAAAATGCGGTCATCAAAAGTTCGGACTACCTTACAATTATTTGGATGGCAGTAAATCATTGCTCCTGTTAGGGTTGGATGAGTGTAAGGTGAGGTTCATGCAAGGTTATTATGGCTGGTATCGGCTATGTTAGGTCACGCGATCATGTCGAGTCTCAAGCACCAATCAATACGTTCTTATTAGTCAGGTTTCCGTAAAGGAAAGAAATCCAATGAAGCAAACAGTTGAGACTACGATATCTGTTGATGGCCTGATTGGTCGGGGGTTGTTACGCACTTCAGCTCAGACGCAGACTCGGTATTGCCTATCTGGGACTTTTTATGCATGTTAGCGGGGAGCTTGCAGGAAGGGAAGGCAAGAATGGCGAAAGTTCTGTCTATTCTAAAAGGGCTGTCTAAGACCTTATATACCTTGAGACGGATCACAGGAGTACGGAGACGGAGTCCGTACTCCTTTATATAGATATAGAATGCCAAGACCTCTAGAACAGAGTGGAGAGTCAAAGTAGCTTAGGGCGTAGAACAGAAATTGAGACATGAACGCAAAGACCCCCTTAAAGTGGCTTAGTGGCTTTAATTCCTTGATTTGGAGGAAATTACATCGTTATTATTAGCATAAGCATTATCATTTTTATTTGGCATTCCTGGGTTCAAATTATTGTACGACATCCAAAATTAGCCGGCCTTTTTCCTTTTTTTTTCTTCTCCCCTCCTGAATTTCTTTGTCTGGTATCCCTGTTGTTTCCGAATCCCTTTTGATTTTGAAATCTATCGATTAGGACTGGTCTGAATGGATAGTCGGTGACTAAGAACTATAATATGGCGTACAATGCCGTCGCTCAAGTCGACCACGAGGTGGCTTCTATTTCTTCCGGTTCTGCATCACCCAGCCCGTCGCCCGCTCACGGACATGAATTTGAGCAGCTGCCGCTTGATACTGATCACATCGGGGGAAGCCATCTGGAAATTGCCAAAACGGAAAATCCCAGCCTCGGTCAGTTAGGTTCCATGATCCGCTCCATGACTTCTACCAGCTACGATATGGTGGAGGACGATGACTATGACGCCGATCCTTCCCCCGAAGAGCGATCAAATAGCCTACGCATTGCACCACTCAATACAGCTGTCCCGCGACCTGCTTCTCCCGATCGACCCCTCCACAGCGCATGTAGTGAGGTTTCCGTACCTCTCAGTCACCCTACCCCGGATTTGCAGTCGATACAAGGAGCCTACAAAGGAAATGTAACGCGGTTGGAAGAGAGCGCGGAGCAGCTGAGCTCGTGCTCCGCCGACATTGAGAGCGAGATCCGTCGCATCGATCAAGAGCAAAAGCGGCGCTCAGTCAGTTCCGCGTCCAATTCAATCATTCACCGGAACGGTGCATTCTCCCCAGCAAGGACTATTTCCTCCGCCCATGGATCGAATGTGTCCCCCGCGCGTCAGCGCTCCGTTTCAGGGGCACGTCTGGCCCAGCTCTCGGAGCCTGCACACGAGGAACATCAACATGAAGTGGATGAATTTCCCGAGTTGCCTGATCTACCACCGCCACAGCCCCTTTTCAACACCCAAAACGAGTACTATTACGATCAATATTCTCCGCAGGGAGTTCCCACGGAGGCGGAGATGGAACGACGGGCCTCGGTCGCATCGAACGATACCTACCAACAGGCGCGGACACTGTTCACTGATTTCGATGGTGTCCATTTCACACCCATGGAACCAGGCCGTCAAGTTTCTTTAGAGCAGCCGCCACTCGCCCGCAAGCCGGAACATTACAAACACCCGCAAGTAGGAGAGAATATGGTGTTCTATCCCGCTCCTGTCCCACGTATGTTGAATCTGCCACCGAAGTTGTCACGCAAGGTAAACATTGAGCGGGATAAGCGTCGTACATATCTGGCAGGCGCTATCGCGGCCGAGGATAGAAAGTCAACTGCTGTGTTACCTAACGCCGATCAAAAAGATCCACGCGACAGTCATGGCGATAAACGCAAATCGACACTACCACCACATCTTCGTGCGAGTGTCTTTTTTGATCAACCGAGTACATCACTCCAGGTCGAAGTTAAGCAAGACTCTGCGGTTGCTACGTTAGAGAGCATTTTGGACGCCTCTGCAAATGCACCAGTTTCCGCTTTCACTGATCACCCTTACGCTGGTCATGTCGGCGCATTCATCTACAACAAATCAAAACGCAAAACCCTGACAAAAGATCCAGCAGGGCAAAAGACAAATCGTCTTTCGCGAGCCACTGGCCATCCTTATAGCACTGATAATGTAGACGAGCATGGGGACCCTATACCTTCGCGCCACGGGTCGGAAGCCGGGAATGACTCAGATAGAAATCATGATGACCGCGGTCATGAGCATGGGTCGGAAGGTACTTATACTGAAAGTGATGAGCAATCTGAAGAAGAGGACGAGGAAGAAGAATTGGATTATGTTGGTCCACCAAACACCCTCCTCGCCGAATTAGAGTTGCGGAAGCATGAATTGAAGCACCGACGCCGGACGGCGGTGCCTGTACCTTTCCAGGGTATGCGGACCACTTTGTTAGAAATGGATGAAATGGCCCAAAAGCAAAGTGACAAACGGCGACAGCGCCCCGTCGCTTTAGCTTGGGAAGCGCGGGACGAAGACGACGACGTTCCCCTGGCTATGTTGTACCCCGACAAAGCTAATGTCGAAAATGACGATCGACCTTTGGGGCTGATGGAGAAGCGGCAACAAGAAGAAAATGAACCTCTGAGCTCGCGCCGTGCTAGGCTGCGTGGTGAACCAGTTCCGCAGCCAGAGCAACGTCCTCCTACAGTGTATGGGCCCCCGGCACATGTTCCCGAGCCGGCCGCCGAGAGTGAGGATGAGACAGAGACAGAGACCCTCGCTGAGCGACTCCAACGGTTGAAGGGACATAACCGCTCAGAGAGCAAATTCGCCAGCGACTTGATGGCCGAAATCGATAGCAGGGCCGGAGTTGCGCCCAAAGACCAAGAAGTTCCCGGTCCTAGCGAGGAAGAAACACTCGCGCAGCGACGTAGCCGCCTTCAGAAAGAGGCTGCCGCCCAACTTGGGCCCCCAAAGAACCCGCGAATGCGCCGGAGTATGGCTGCGCTTACACAGGGTCGTCCTTCTCAACTTGCCCGCCAGTCGTCGTATGACGTTTTCAATCAGCGGCCTGTCACCATGTCCCAGTATGGAAACCGCATGTCCATGCAACAATTTCCACAAAGAGGATATCCGACACCTACCCCATACCCGCTGGCACAGCAATATGGATATCCTATGAACCCTCCAACGATGGGCATGAATGGCATGGGGTATGCTTCAAACATGACACAGCACCCTACGCCGGTCCAAACCGACCCCTACATGATCGACCGCTGGAGGCAAAGCATTCGTTGAAGGCGTCTATTGACTTTTTGCTTTATGTTTTGTTAGCATAGCATATGGTTTGTTTTGAGCGTGTCATTCTTTTTATATATTTTTCTCGAAGGATATCCATGTAGCATAGCTGTACGATTTATAGAGGACTTGCATTTATTTAGGCTTATTACCTCGATAAAATAGTCAAAATAAACGAAGCAAGTAGGGGTAAGAATGTGACGCGATATTGTAGACAGGCCTAGACACTACAGGAGGGCAAGATGGGTGTAACCTAACTTTTAGCCGCGCGTTACTTTGATCTTTTCTGTTTTATATAAATACATATGTAGACATATCTATGTAAATTTACTGTGGATTGTGGGATTACCCCTTCTTTTTGTTAAATCGAGTTTGATAAGCTTACAAAAGCTCAAGGCTCAAGAAGTCCACGGGTGGGTTCTTCATCCCCCCACGGTCCAGTTTGTATATGACAGCGTCTTTGTTCACCCCAGCACATGCAGTTGATAACTGCAATGGACTATTACGCCCTTTGTTAATCCTTGTGACCCAACTTGGCGTTGTGAGGGTAAATAAACAGCCATGCCACCGTCTACCGTCTTCTCGTACTGGCGCCGAGACCATCGGCGTTGGTCCGCATCGCCTGCTTCAATCCCCGCGCCCTCACCTGTCAAAGGGGCGAATGAAAGCCCGATTAGCAGCCCTCCCCAGCTCCCAGAGATTCCGGATACACCCACACTCACCACTACCTTCGACGGACGCCCCTCGCCCGATGGCCCCTCGAACGAGTCGCCGCTCGAGATCGATACTTCCAAGCTCAACATTAGCTCATCGGTCGCGCCGTTATCCTCTTCGCTCACTCTTGGTGTCCCATCGCCGGCATTTGAAAAAGAAAGTCGCCCTTATTCTAGCCCCGACTGCGGGGGAGAACAATTTACATCCCAGTCGAATAATTCTCAGCTGTCTGTGACGGGTTTACGGTCTGACCAAGCGGACACAGAGTCGGGCTTCAAACCAAGCTCACCATTTCGACGTTCATTTGGCAAACAGAGAAGATCACCAACTGCGGTAACTGGGTCAGGCCATTTCCGGTTCAGAAGCTCACCGGATGATTCGCCGGCGGATAAACAAACAATGCCGCAAAAGGATTTCAAAATGGATGCCAGCACAACTATCCGGCGCACCGGAGATCGTGATGTGTCTGTAGAACAAACACATCACAAGTCGGGAAAGGCGATGCTGCATCTCTTGAACCCGATGTCCCTCCTTGCGCGCAGGCGCTCCTCGCAGATGGTTAGCTCCCGGGCAGAAGATGTCAAAATCAAGAACCGGAATGTTCCTGCTATGCCAGATGACTATGATCCCAGAATTCGTGGAAACATTGTCCATGACTTCTCGGCACCCCGTCCTCGTCGCAATCTTTCGGCTACCAAGCAGGGTACACTCGTGAATGGGCAGGATACTTCACCACCACAAATACCCAGTCAACCTCGAGGTACCCATTGGAATGACCAGGCAAAACGGCACAGTGACCATTCGCCTGTTTTCAAGGAACATTTTGAGGAACAGAATGTTCTACAGGTGGAAAACAAGGGCTATCTTCAGTCTTCGCTTTTAACAGGTCCACCACAGCCTGCACATGACAGCTCATTACCGGTATTTGCACGGAACTTGCCTTCCCAAATACCAGAAGGAGCCGACCTATCTGAACAGAGTGAACCTAAGGCAGAGGAGCCTTCCCCAAGCCCACCTAAAGCTATCTCCCATGCCCATCCTCAGCACCCTCAAGATCAAGACACTATTCCAAATGTGCCCTTCAATCCCTCGGCCTTGCCTAGACATCTCAAGAGCAATGCCTCTCGATTCAGCTTCGACATGAGCGGAGTAGAATCATCTTCACAAGAGAAAATGCTGGAAGAGAAGCATAAAGCCAAGGAAGCTTCTCGCAGAATGGAGGATGGGTATTTCGATGACTTTGATGAGGACTTCGATGATGACATGATGGACGACCTAGATGGTCTGGAAGAAAAGATTCCGGGCGTTAATGCAGACGCCGATGATGACGATTTAGATGATTTCTCTGTTTCGCAAAACATCAGCGAGCCCAAGTCCTGGGCTATCCCGGGATTGTCACCCGTTGTTGGTAGCCCGATCACTGCTGCACCACTAGCCTCCACAGACTCCTCACACTTCACCTCTCATCTCTCCGAGACCACACAATTAGAAAATGGCCCAGGCCAACAAATACCAAGGGAACAACCCCCCCTAGGCTCCAGGACTGATGCAACGTCAACCCTTCTCCAGGCCCCGGTTACCAATCAAACACCCCAAATCCTTGACGACGATGATGATCTTTATTTTGATGACGGCGACTTCGGAGATCTTGCTGTTGACAACAACGAGGGTGGATTTGATGAATCTATATTTGATGATGTTAACAGTCATTTATACGAACGAAAACCAGTCGGTGCCCCTGCAGCACCTTTACCAACGGACAGTGCAGCCCCTGGCGGGGATGACTCTTCGACAGGAAAAGAAAGCCCTGTGGCAGAAAAGGGAGTCCAAGGACTGCAACACATGCCTAGTGTGGCCAGTGACTATCGCGTTACAGGATCGGTCAAGCGTGGTCCCCTCGGCGAGACAATACCAAATGTGGGCCCTGCCCGTGCCCATGGTGGTGTGCTCACAGAGCAAAATCTAGATATCTTGCACAATGCTCTAGCTTTCGCGGCCAATGAAGCATCATACAACGGGCGCTTTGAGCGCAAGTTCAGCACGAGCGAAGCATCACAGGGGCACGACAGCGTAGCACAAACATCGCAAACGATAGACTCACAACCGGGTCTGGTTTCTGATGATGGCCGGGTCAGCCAAGCTGCGGATGCCATGGCCTTCGAGGACGTCTTCGATGATCAGGTCTACCATGATCACTTCTACGATGACCACTTCTATGATGATAACGATGATTCGTACTTGGACGACGCAATCGTTGCTGCTGCTAATGCTGAAGCTCTTGAGAATGATGACGATGGCTTCTACGGCCAAGAGTTCGGCTTCTACGCACAAGCAGATGGCAACGGCGCTTCTGAGCTAATCAACGGTGGATACTTTGGTCCGAGACGGGTCGAAGGTATCACGCGGAACCACAGCAGCCGCGGCAAATTCCAGGAACCAAGCTTGACCCCTATCACTGAGCGAAGTGAATGGAGCACACGCAATTCTATGATCTCGGTCAAGGCCCACGGCGGTACCCATCCAAATTCAGCTCTAGCGAGCCCTGGGCTGGCACAGCTGGTTGACATGGGCAATCTCGACGATGACATGTCACTGAGCGCGCTCATGAAACTACGCCGGGGAGCCTGGGGTGGGAGCAACGGTAGCCTGCGCAGCAGTGCAGGCAGTCCACCACCACATACGATCTCACCCTCTCACCGTACAAGCCTGAATGGCGCCGAAGCAAGCCCAACAGTCTCTGAAGCGAGACCGTTTAGTCCTGATGAGGGGCTCTCGAACAGTGTCGGTTATTTCCATGATGATAACCACCCACGTACTACTTCAGCATTGTCGGGCCGGCCAGACTATGAAGAAATCCCAACCTCCGCACCTCAGCGACTCAATGTCTTGTAATATGGGGCGTGATTTCCTTATTTGGGTATAATGATCTATTATTTCTCTGCATATCAGGCCCTTTTTGTGATTTTTTTTTTCCCGCTTCGTCATGATTTCATGAATTATCCAATGTTCAATAGTTTAGATGTTAATATTAATACAGATCGTAATCTGGGGAGTGAAAACAATTTTAAATTAAACTAGATCTTCAAGGGAAAAAAAAGGCACTAGAGAGATCGATGATTAATAGTAATCCTTTTTAGTCCAATTGGGCCGAAAACTCCCGTATAAGGAGGCCGAGTACTTAGCCGGTTGAGAGAAAAAGTGGCTGTTGGGGGCGTTTCTTAGTGCCTTGTCCCCGGGCATCGGCTGTAAGTCGGGCTGAGTCAGCGCACCAGCCTCACTGCCGTGAGATCCGTCATTCTCGGCAGCTCTTCCAAGGTTCCTTTTGCGCTCTTCTTTCGCTTCATCTTTCCACATCTCCACACTTTGTTTTCTTATCTAGAGCGTTTTAGCTCTCTGATGAGTCCCGATTCTATACAGGTGCTACGGCAATACTAGTCGACACCTGTTCTGCGATTTAATTCGTACGTGTACTTAACGCCTCTTCCTTTCCTCCGTATTCCGGTTTGCTTGCTGCAGAACACCCTGGCAATATCAGGCTGACACTCTACACAGTGAATCAGACTATTTGACGTCCGATTTGGCCACAATCCCGAACTGTTGTCTTCCAATTCCCCTTTCCTCTAAATCGAAAACTTTATTGGACCTTCATCCAAGAAAAATCCCGCAATGTTCAGAAACACTGCTTTGAAGGCCACCAACAGCGGCATGCTGCGTGGTGCAACCTCTTCATCATGCCGGCGCTCATTCCACCTCGCCACAAGTGCTCGTAGCGCTTCAAAAAGCTCCGGTTTCAGCATGACCGCTCGTCGACCTCTTGCTGTTGTCGACCGTGCTTTCAACGGTGCTCGGTCCTACGCGGCCCCTGCGGAGGGCCAAAGTCAAGGAGTGGTAAGCAACAACAACCTTGATCGGTAGCGTTCCGATCCGGGTTCCCAATAATTGGAAAAAAATGAAAAAAATAAACGGGCATCGACTAACGCGACGGCGCGATTTCCATATAGGACCCCAACGATTCTTTCCTTACTGGTAGCACTGCCAACTACATCGATGAGATGTACATGGCTTGGAAGAACGATGCCTCGAGTGTTCACATCTCTTGGCAGACTTACTTCAAGAACATGGAGGAGGGCAAAATGCCTATCTCCCAGGCTTTCACCCCTCCCCCCACCCTCGTCCCCACCCCTACCGGCGGTGTTCCCCAGGACATGCCCGGCCAGGGACTCGCTGGTGGCGCTGACGTGACAAACCACTTGAAGGTTCAGTTGCTCTGCCGCGCCTACCAAGCCCGAGGTCACCACAAGGCCAAGATCGACCCTCTTGGCATTCGCGGAGAGGCCGAGGCCTTTGGCTACGACAAGCCCAAGGAGCTCGAGTTGGACCACTACGGTTTCACCGAGAGTGACTTGAACCAGGAGTTTGCCCTTGGACCCGGTATCTTGCCCCGTTTCATCACCGAGACCCGCAAGAAGATGACTCTGCGCGAGATCATTGCCGCCTGCGAGAAGATCTACTGTGGCTCCTATGGTGTTGAGTACATCCACATTCCGGACCGCAAGCCCTGCGAGTGGATCCGTGATCGCTTCGAGATCCCTCAGCCTTACAACTACTCGGTTGACGACAAGCGCCGCATTCTTGACCGTCTGATCTGGTCTTCCAGCTTTGAGGCTTTCCTCGCTACCAAGTTCCCCAACGACAAGCGTTTCGGTCTGGAGGGTTGCGAGACCCTTGTCCCCGGTATGAAGGCCCTGATCGATCGTAGCGTCGACTACGGCATCAAGGACATCGTCATTGGTATGCCTCACCGTGGCCGTCTTAATGTTCTGTCCAACGTTGTCCGCAAGCCCAATGAGTCCATCTTCAGTGAGTTCGCCGGTTCTGCTGAGCCTTCCGACGAGGGCTCCGGCGATGTCAAGTACCACTTGGGTATGAACTTCGAGCGCCCTACCCCCTCTGGTAAGCGGGTGCAGCTGTCTCTGGTTGCCAACCCATCTCACCTCGAGGCTGAGGATCCCGTTGTTCTTGGAAAGACCCGTGCCATCCAGCACTACAACAAGGATGAGACCAACTACGACACCGCCATGGGTGTTCTGCTGCACGGTGACGCTGCCTTTGCTGGCCAAGGTGTTGTTTACGAGACCATGGGATTCCACTCCCTTCCGGCCTACTCGACCGGTGGTACCATCCACCTTGTTGTGAACAACCAGATTGGTTTCACCACTGATCCCCGTTACTCCCGGTCTACCCCCTACTGTTCCGACATTGCCAAGTCCATCGACGCTCCCGTCTTCCACGTGAACGCCGACGATGTTGAGGCTGTCAACTATGTCTGCCAGGTCGCTGCTGACTGGCGTGCCGAGTTCAAGCGTGACGTGGTCATTGACATGGTCTGCTACCGTAAGCAGGGTCACAACGAGACTGATCAGCCTTCGTTCACCCAGCCCTTGATGTACAAGCGCATTGCCGAACAGAAGGCCCAGCTCGACAAGTACGTCGAGAAGCTGATTGCCGAGGGTACCTTCACCAAGGAGGACATCGACGAGCACAAGAAGTGGGTCTGGGGAATGCTCGGCGATAGCTTCGACCGCAGCAAGGACTACCAGCCCACCGGCAAGGAGTGGCTGACTTCCGCCTGGAACAACTTCAAGTCTCCTAAGGAGCTGGCCAATGAGGTTCTGCCTCACCTTCCCACCGCCGTTGGCGACAAGTCACTGAAGCACATTGCTGACAAGATCTCCGGTACCGGTGTTCCCGAGGGCTTCGAGCTCCACCGCAACCTTAAGCGTATTTTGAGCGGACGCAAGAAGGCTGTCGATGAGGGCAAGAACATCGATTGGGCTACCGCCGAGGCTCTCGCTTTCGGCTCGCTCGTTGACGAGGGTTACCATGTCCGTGTTTCCGGCCAAGATGTTGAGCGTGGTACCTTCTCTCAGCGCCACGCCGTCCTGCACGACCAGCAGACTGAGCGCACTTACACTCCTTTAAAGCACATCAGTGAAAAGCAGGGCAGCTTTGTCATCTCTAACTCCTCCCTGAGCGAGTTTGGTTGGTAAGTTCTTGAATTGAAACTCCCCGCGTAACAATGACCCTAACATACAATCTAGTCTCGGCTTCGAGTACGGTTACTCTCTGACCTCCCCCAACGCCCTTGTGATGTGGGAGGCTCAGTTCGGTGACTTCGCCAACAACGCTCAGTGTATCATTGATCAGTTCATCGCCTCCGGTGAATCCAAGTGGCTGCAGCGTTCCGGTCTGGTTGTGTCTCTGCCTCACGGTTATGACGGCCAGGGTCCTGAACACTCTTCCGGACGTATGGAGCGTTGGCTCCAGCTTTGCAACGAGGAGCCCCGTGTGTACCCCTCGGCTGACAAGCTGGACCGCCAGCACCAGGACTGCAACATGCAGATTGCCTGCATGACTACCCCTGCCAACCTGTTCCACATCCTCCGTCGCCAGATCCACCGCCAGTTCCGCAAGCCTCTGGTCATCTTCTTCTCCAAGTCTTTGCTCCGCCACCCCATTGCCCGCTCTGACATCGAGGCCCTGGATGGCGACTCCCACTTCCAGTGGATCATCCCCGATGAGGGTCACGGCACCGCCATCGACGCTCCCGAGAAGATCGAGCGTGTTATCCTGTGCTCCGGACAGGTCTACGCTGCCTTGCTCAAGCACCGCGAGGCTAATGGTATCCGCAACACTGCCATCACCCGTATTGAGCAGCTGCACCCCTTCCCTTGGGCCCAGCTGAAGGAGAACCTGGACAGCTACCCCAACGCTAAGGACATCGTCTGGTGCCAGGAGGAGCCTCTCAACGCCGGTGCCTGGTCCTACGCTCAGCCCCGTATCGAGAGCCTGCTGAACGCTACCGAGCACCACCACCGCCGTCATGTCCTGTACGCTGGTCGCGCTGGCAGCGCTTCCGTCGCTACTGGTCTCAAGGCTGTCCACCTCAAGGAGGAGCAGGAGCTCTTGGAGGACGCTTTCTCTATTCACCAGGATCACCTGAAGGGCGAGTAAACGCCTTCCTAGTGATTTGATTCGACTTCAGTTGATGAGATACTTGGGATCTTAATCTGACACTTGCATTTAGTTGAGTGTCATATATCCATTGGTCTTCCTAGAACCTAGCGTGTATTTCCTTGTTGTACCACCCCTTTATTATACTGATTTTCTTTGTGTGTTGTCGATGTGTCCCTAGGTTCATAGTCATAGGCTATGCTAGGACAGTCTTTTGGTTGTCCTAATGTAAGGTCCTGCCTATACCTAGAATCCGTGCTATATGTAAAATACAAGATTCACTGACTTTCGAAGACTCCTGCTTGTTTTCTCTGTATGCTGTTTAAATCTCCATAGCTCATGTCAACTGTTAATTTTTATATGCCCTGTTGGGCATTATTGCGCCTATGACATCACCCGCGTGCTTGAATGATTCAGCAATAGATGCCTGATCGATGCGGCACCTATCAGGCAGCGATCTCACCTGATTTGATTGCTCTTCTCCGCACTCAATCTTCCCAGCAGCAGCTTCTCTTGCATCGATGCCCTCTTGTTGTTACGCGAGGTGTTGACTATTGTACATGGTCCTTAATAATTGTCGAACACCATTGGTTCTTCAAACCCTATTATTTCCTCCTCAAATTGGGCTCGGCTCACCTCAAGCGTCCTCCAACGGCGCGGCTCCCAGTCCTGACCCTGCCCTTCAACATGTCTGCCGTCTCATCGTCAGTCAATAATCCTCCGGGCCAAGGAGTCCGACAGTCCGCTCGTCAGACACGTACAAACCCATCTCGAACCTCCAAAACCATCGGACGGTCATCCTTCGCGTTCGGCCAAGGCTCGACAACTGAAATTCCTTCCACTTCCCCTGTTCCTCATGGCTTTTATCCTGCACTCACGCATTTCACCGATGCTATAACGGCGCTTCCGCGCGAGTTTCGTCGCCACAACTCTCTTCTCAAGGAAGTTGATGCGAAGGCGTGGGCCCTGGAGGAAAATTTGCTGCAGTTACTCCAGTTCTCCTCCCAGTCGCAGCCCGTTCCTCATCCTCCCCACCCGGCGCCTATCATCGGGGGTGTTATTCGGGAGGATGTTTTGCCCAAAGTAAGTCTTCTTCGCGGTTTGTCTAATTGGCTACTTTGGGCGTTTACTGATAGTGTTTCTCTTGCGCTAGGATCTATCTCAGTCACCCGAATCGCCCGATAGCAAAAGCCGCCGGCTTCTATTCGATCGAGTACGTCAAAGCCTCTCAGACCTAATGATGACCGCCGATGAAAAGAATCATGTCATTTCGAATGCGAACGAGGAATTAGATCGGCAAATTGTCCGACTAGATACGGTATTCCCATACATTGCAGGCGAGATTAGCGAGGAGGCTCGACTAGGCAGCCTGACACACTGGGCGTACTCCAACAAGAGTACTGCGAAGGCAGCGACTAACGAACGACCGCGCCGGGAAGCAGTAGCGCAAAGACAGGATCTGTCGCACGTGCTTCAAGAGGCTGAAGCTGCAAGCCGCAGTGAAGCGCGGCGTGATGCTGTTCTGGCACGGAAGCAACGTCGGGCACAGGCCGACGCGGATTACGAGGATACGCGCAGCTCGGGTGCCCGCAAGACCAACAGTGGGAAATCTCGAGGTGGAGATCACGCGGCTGACCCTACTGCTCCCAAGCGTCGCAAGGTGGAACGATCGCTGCCAGTGGACACTAGTGTTCCGATGGACCGCTCTGCTAGTGGCGCTGGGAGCCAGAGAGCTACGAATAAAGACCCAGCGGAGAAGAAGCGGTCTCGCGCTCCAAATCCAGCCGCTGCTGCACGCAAGAAGTACGTCTCGTTTCACTGCGTTCGCTACTGCATCCAACTGACTTGATTTTAGGGCCAACGCTTCCAATGCTGCATCGCCCGTTCTGGCCCCATCGCCTTTGATTGGAACATTCAATGGTCCGCGTGGCGCCGCCAGTCCGGGGCCCAATACATCAAGACCACAGTCTTCACGAGCCCAGCAGAATTCCGGATCTACAACCAATTCGCGTGCGCGGCCAACATCATCGGCTTCAAACCGCCCCAACAACAGTATGCCGTTTCATCCACTCCACCCCGAACCATTAATTAACCACATCCCCTACGTAGACAAAATTGCCGATTCCAGATCTATACCCCGGGACGGACCCATCAAAAACGAACTCGTCCACGCAGACACACACCGTGACTACGAAGGCGATGCCAATGGTAGAACATCCATTCCCGCGGGCTCCAAGCGCGAGGATGTGGATAGAAAATCCGGTTCTGCCGAGGCCGAGACGACGAAGGGACGCAATTCTAAGACATCGACCCCTATCCTCCCCGCATTCACAGAGCCCAGCCAACAACGCGCACGGCCCACGCGAAGTCAAGACCCAGCTTCTACCAAGCGAACTCAGAAGAAGCCCATCCCACAGCCTGCAATACCCTCTGATGACGAGTCGCTTCACGAGGGCGATGATGAAGATGAGGAGGGTGAGCCACGATACTGTTACTGTAATGAAATTAGTTTCGGAGAGATGGTTGCTTGCGACAATGACGCCTGTCCGCGTGAATGGTTCCATTTGTCGTGTGTCGGCTTGACGAAACCGCCTGGAAAGAATGGTAAGAGTACTTTTTGCATAGTTAAATCGTCTACATTGCTAACAGTTTCAATTAGTTAAATGGTATTGTAACGAGTGCAAGGAAAATATGAGACGGAGTCGCAATGGGCGGTAACATGTCCCATTCAAGATTATACAATGATGATATGGCGTTATGTGGTGTTTTCAGTTGGCACATACTCTAGCGGAGATACGGCCTTGCTAGTTGATATTTCTAGACTTCATGCAATTGCAGATATTGTCTGGCTTTACATTCCAGTGCTCACCTCTCTCTTTGATCGAGTATTGTAGCATTGTATACATACGTACGAATTGGAGGAATTGCAAATGTGGGGATACTACATGAATTAATTGATCGAGGATTAAGGTAAAGGACTTTGAGGGCTATATCAAATAGCACCTACCAAGTCACCCAAGAATCCAAATATCCGCAGTACATCTATACCAGATAGACATGTCCAACCAGCCTAGCATAGCTTGGGCAACTATCTCTACCAAGCACCTCGCAGCCGATCAACAAGCCCACTACCCTCACCGGCACCATTCGCGCGCCGCTGGGCTTGCGCACCAGATCCCTCCAACCCCGAAGCCGAAGCAGCAACTTCACCCTCCAACCTCCGTCGTAGATCCTCATACCTTTCCCCCTCCGCACCACCAGACCCGGAGCCAGACCCGGAGCCAGCCCTCCGCTCTTGCTCGCCAACCATCCAAGCCGGAACCCGGAACCCGGTGCTGGCTGGTGACAGACCCGGTAGCAGCTCCCTGCGCCAGGCTACACCGACAATCCAGCCTAGCGCTGACGGGAGGAGCATTGCGGGGAACTGGGAAAGGGCTAGCTGGGCAGCGACGATGTAGGTGGTTGATTTGTCGGAGAGAAGGAGGGATAAGCTTGGTGATGGGGGCTTGGGTTGGGTTGCCGATGCGGTGTTATCGGAGGAGGGACCATTGCTGGTATTGTTGTCGGTGTTGTCTGTGATGGAGGACGTGGACCCGATGCGGTAGCGGTAGGTGTATGGGATAGTGGCGTGGTACTGCGCCAACAGGGCGAAGATGGTTGCTGTTGGGCCCGACGGGAGGTAATTGAGGTTATTCATGGATATAGGGCGGATTAGGAGGGCGAGGAGAACTGGCGGGAGGAGAGTCGTGTAGGGTAATGTGGTGAGCAGGAAAGTCTGGCGCAGTATCATGGTGTCAGCAATCGGGTTCCGGGTCATATAGACGCTTTTCAGCTTCCCTGTTCCCTTATCGCATATTTATATGCATTTTCAGGGACAAGGATACTAAAATAAAGAAAGACTAACCGCCATCTTCCGCTTCCCCCACGCGCGTTCGACAACTCGCAGATGGTATACTAGCATCGCGGCGAAGAGGGCCTCGGTGGAATTGGTGAAGCCGGCGACATGCCACACCAATGCACGCCAGAACTGGGCATAGGGCCAGAAATGAGGCGATACAAATATCACGGCGAGGTGTTTTATGTCGAAGAGGGAGAGAGCGATCGACGAGGCGATCGAGTAGATTAGGAGGGATTTTGTGATGGGCGCATTTGTGAGGCCGGAGGTGAGCATGTTGAAACCCCTTGTTTTTCTTGTTTAGTATCTGGCTTGGGAATCATCCAAGTTGGGGGAGAAAGTGAGTTGAAGAATGTTGAGTGTTGGAGGGGACAGATGGCACTAAATTCCCGAAGTCCGGGGAAGCTCGGCATGCCGACTTTTAATTTCTACAATCATTTTGATGTCATTTTATAGATGAGATATCGAGATTTGTATTCACTGTACGAATAAAAGCTCTCTTAAGGTATCATAATATACATGCCTACTCCAATATCAAAGGCCCGAGTTGTTTCCTTCTATGTCTCTTAACCAGCCATGGCCGCTTCTTTATTTTGTTCGGCCAATTCTTTTTGGTATCGAGTCGATGCAACCTCCAGTGCATGGAGTGTAGGACCAAGAAGTTGGTTCACAGCCTTCTGGCCTCCTTCCACGCCTTCTAAGTTGACTCGTAATTTTCGCCCGGTGCTCTCGTACATGTCACGGGCGTGTTTCTTTAGCCGGTCAACTTCGACTTTCCGCTCAGCCTCCGCGTCATTAGCAACAGCCTTGATGCGCTCTGCTGCCCGCTGGAGAGACTCTGCTAAGGAGGCCACCTCTCCAGCGCGGTCGGGGTTGCCAGAGAGAAACGCCTGCCAAAACTGGTGCAAAAACTCCGTGGTTGTAGCGTGTGTCAATGTCAAGCGGTCAAAAAGTGCCGTCGACAGCCCATATGTTTCTGATACTGCTCGCTCACTCATCAGGCCACGGCGCTCGCGCAATGCTCCCAGGATCTGAGAAAACGCATCTTGTAGAGCCGCGGATGATCCGACAGGTCGACGGCTAGCAGGTGCATCCTCCATCTCCTCGTCTTCATCATCGCCGGGGTCCACCAGCTTGCCCAGTTGTGTATTGCCCTGCGATGGAAGACTTTGATTGATTTCGGCACGGAGAGTCTGAAGAAGCTGATCCGGGTCTTGTTTCGCAAATTGGTTGGTCTTGTCCTCATCCTGGCCATGAGTGAAGAACCGACTCTGATCACGGATGTTCAAAGTGATGCGACTTTGCGCTTCTTCTCCACGAAGATCCTGCAGCTGGAGCTTTTTCCATGCCTCTTCGTTGATACCTATAGGCGCACTCATGTCACCGTCGGCGGGAGCCACGTTTGCCATGATCTTTTCACTCAAACTGTTCAGTGTCCGGATAATGGGCACTTTGTCGACGCCAGAAGGTCTCATATCTAGGTCGGGTCGGTTTCCGCGACGCTGGCTGTGGTTTACTTCATTGCCAGCCAGATCCAAAAAGTGATGAATATTCGTGTCCCGGCCCGACCGAGCGGCCTCGTCCGTTCGGAGGTATTTGTCAAGCACGGCATCTGTTGCGTCGGCCTCTGTAATCCGCTCTCCGCGCAATTTTTTGAACAGCCGACTCTGGAAAAATCGCGACCAGAATTGTTGCTCGCTGAGTTTCGGCACATTCTCGTCATACACGCGTTTGACTAGTGGGTGTTGTGTGAAGATGAGTTGAATTTGCTCTTTGCTGATATTCAATCGTGTCACGTTATCCTCGACTCGAGGCTTGAGCGAAGAAAGCACATTATATGAGCCACGGATTTGGCCCTGCTCGATCGCGTGCGCTCGCAGTAAATGCAGTCGTGTCGACCAGAACTGTGATACGAATGACGCAGACGACAATGCTTCCGGTTTTGTATGCAACCCCTCGAAAAACATTCGCTGCAGATTTGAATCAGATCTTAATAACGACTGCTGTAGCTCTATGTCGGACCGAAGCCTATTCTCCTCGTCCAAAGGATTCTTCGCCGTCCCCGCAGATGTCACAGCGTTTGCAATCGCCATTGCCGCTGATAGACCCTCTGATCCACCTCTAGGCCCCGGTGTCTGGGATGGTGTAGCCGACTTCGCCGCATTGACTCGAGCACTCAATGTATCTTTGATGAGATCGGCTTCCGGGCGGGCGTTTGCTCCAGCCGTGAACAGGAAGACATATTGATCGGGTGTACTATTCGGAGGTGCATCGGGAGCTTGGGCAAATATTTTGAGCATCACTTTCGGGTTCGTAGCTGGGGTCTGCTGTAGATCTAGCAGTCGCGCGAGTTAGCAAAGAGACAAATGCACGGCCATGGAGTGACGCCATACTAGTGATATTGGCCACGGGAATTGTGATCATGTTCCCAGCCCCTGCCACTGCAGGGGTCCATGAGACCGAGTTCTCATCTGTGGATATAGCTATGGTTCCATCTTTCTTCTTGTAAGAGGCCGCTCCGCTCGGGGGTGACATCGTCGCGTGTCGCTTCCACTGTACTCAAGGCGACAGCGAATCCACCCATCGAAATGAGCAGGTCCCCAAGGTCCGAAGTTAGCGAGTAGGTCTGAGACCTTCGTGATAGACAGGGAGCGTAGAGGTGAAACCAACAACGAGAAATGCGGCTCTTCTGCGAGTCATCACATGACGTTTGCCAAGCGTCACCTGGGAGCCAAGCCCTAAGTGAATGAAGCTGCAGTTTCATTTGCGAGGTTTAAACTATGTAGATCTATAAGATTTATTGGATGTGTGCTTATTCTGATGCTTTTTATATCTTTGTTGGAAAAGAGCCCTATTAGAGATGTTGGTTTGTGTTCAAGCCATCGTCCCTCTTTCTATCGTATTCGTGCACTGCTATTGCCTTCAAATGAGATGTAATAATGGAGAAAGTGTGTTAGAAGTGTAGTATCTCTTGAGAGGCTTAATGTTTTAGATGAAAGGATGCTAGTCGCATGGAATTTTATTCAAGACGCTTGCTTTCGATACATATTTAGATTAAGAATAGTGGGCAATCTGCACACTATCACTTTTGACAAGGGGCTATTGATTGCCCATAGCATTAGTCCAAGAATAATATCAACAGATAAGACATCAAAATAGAAATTAAGCTCAAAAATAGATGCAAGAAGTGACTCGAAACTACCTAAGCCCTAGCCCTGGAGCACACAGCTGTTTACTTTGCACTTGACAGGATCACCACATGTTTCATAGATAGTACGACTAAACCCAACTGTCCAAAGCTTTCCAAGCCGAGCTAATTGATTTCGGGGGTGAAACGAGAGTATCCCTCCGGTTGTTATCCACTTTTATCACGGCGAATTGATCACCGCGGAAGACATAGTAGTGATCGTGGCCAGTCGGGCTCGGAACAATAGCATCAACACAATCAAAGCCAGCTTGGACAAGACTCGGCCAGCCCTGCGCAATAGGTGCAACCTTGTTGACCATTTTGTCGGTACTATTGTCCAAGCGAACATAGTTCAAGCCATTGAAAAAGTACATATCATTCTTTGTTCCCGGGGTGAGCATTGCTGCATCCACGGTGTCGAAGCCCGCTTGAACGAGCGACTTCCATCCAGAGGAAATAGGAAGGGCTCCATCATTGGCAAAGCCATCATCGTAGTTTTCAAGCTTGATTTTGGCATATCGGCCTCCGAAGAAAACGTAGAGTTGGTTTTCGTGGCCAGGTACAGGCACAACAGTGTCCACTGTACCAAAGCCCATCTTAGGCAGAGTGTTCCAGCCCTTGCTTAGGAGGGTTGGGCCTGCAGCAAGATCATGCTCGGGGCCTTCGTGGCCAAACTTGACACGACCATAATGACGGCCAGAGAAGATACAGATCTCTTCTTTTCCGGGAATGCGGCATGCGGCATCAACCATTGTGGAAAAAGTTCGTCGATGGGAGTCTTGAAAGAGTAGAAGTGGATTTGTTTCTGATGATGCACAGAGAATCAACTGTGTAGAATATGAATCTTCAGACTAGAGTCTTGATGTGGTGGTATTTATATCCGTCTACCTTGGGGACTAGGCTCTTCGCCAAATGTTTCTCATGCGACTCACTCCTTGCCTGTACGATGATGACATTAGCAATGGCACGTTTGTATGACTGAGATCAAATAATTCACTGCATGTTGTCTTACAGCTAGACTGGAGCAGAAGTTATTGGTTTTTGATCTTACACATGATTTGCATTACGCCGAGTTGAATAAAATTTATGATGCTCATTGGTATGAGACATCAATCAACCATATGCCTCATGGATAATCCGCAAGACTAATAATACACATGGAGCACACTGGCAATTACTTGAGGTCAAATTCCTAGAAAAGATCTACATCACAAGTGCTTTCCTCCCTCATATACCACTAAGTTTATATCACTATGGCACAAGCTTTGACAGACATACGTATCTAAATAAACACGTCAAACTCTCTAGAGATTTGTGCCTCGTGATTAAATACACATATCACTATAGCTAACATCGGATGTCCCGTCCCGTCACGTTGTACCGAGGACCAAGGGCCTAGATGTGCAGTAAAAGCCTGTCAGTCTAGGAGGATCAAGCTTTACTCAATACACAAGGGCATGCAGTGCCTTAATATACAACACGAAAAAGGATGAAGACCTCTGAATCCGCTTCTTAGCATTGGATCTCCTGGCTCTGTGGCTCACACTAGTAATTAGTAGTTACTGCTCGAGCCATTTATTTGTGTGTAACGTCGAGGGCTAAGATTAGAGAACTAGCCTTCTCCTTTGTGAGGGCTGGATGTTAATAAATATCTGGGTACAGGAAAACGAGGGAAGTAGCAATATTAGAAGTGGAAAGCAAAGTCGTAGTCGTCTAGCTAGTTAACAGAACAGTGTATATTGAGATTTGTTTCGATATACATCCATATTTCCAATAGGACTAAGATATCCTGATTTCATCACTATACTGCTGCGGTCCTATAATTCCTATAGGTCTTGTTCGGATGTTTGATGTTCCCTCTTTCAGATCATCATAGCCCCCTTGGTGTTAGCATCTTTCTATTTGACTTCACATTCATAAAGCCTCTTGCGTTAGTTTCCGACAGACCACTTTTGATGCGGTGTTCATTTTTATGCTGTGAGCTTCTATATAGACGGTAGTATTGGGTATAGATAGAAATGGCTTCTAGCACAAGGAGAGAGATATAGAGAAAGGGAAGATTTGGTACAACTTTCACATCAACAAACTAGCTCAGCCATAGTAATCAACTGTGGTATTGTGCTCAAAGATGCTGAAAGTTCATCGTAGATTTTATGTGCCGTTGACAATGTGTCGATAAATGGCGAACGTCCTTCCTTCTCTTCGAAAATCAATCTCTTCCAACTTCTTATTGCGCATATCCTTCAATAGTGCCTCGAACACAGGCCATATTTCGTCCAAAATTGTCTTTCGAATTGCATGTTTGAGCACTTTTTGGTTGTCATTGTAATCCTTAAAGTCGACCTCAAGAACTTTCTTTAGTTTAGCGTCGAAGTTCACCATCAATTCTTTTCTATAATCAGAGGATCGCTATTCGCAATTGTCTTCGCCAATCGCCTTGAAAAGGTTCTCTGTCGCTTTGTTTATCACCGCTACAAGTAGTTTGAGGGTGTGTACTTCCGCCTCATGGCTGAGTGGGATCGGCAGTTTCTATAGCACAGCTTTGAACATGTTCCTCCCCTCTACATACCAAAAACAACATTGTTGATGTCCATATGCGAGAGCTCTAGAAGGGCTGGCGCAGAAACCCATGTAAAAAGTTCCAGGGCGAGACTGCGCGGTTGAAGTTTGATCGAGCGTGTGTCTCTTCATCTCTCGAAAGTGGACAACTCAGAGGAGTAACTCAACCTGGATGGAGTCTTCGAGGTGCTTTATGTTCGGATTGTGACTTCAGGGCGTTTTTGAGTTTTGACAAGATCCTCTTGTTGAATCAATTGGGAAACACAACTTACTGCTCGAGCATTCGATTAATAGAGCCATGGCGCAGTGACTGGGGAAGCAGGTGGTCAAAAGGGAGATTTCAAAATTTAAGAGAGAAAGGTGAGAGAAGGGAGAGAAATATTACAGAGGGGTGAGACCTTCAAGTTGACCGAAGTCACCCGATGGGGAAGGTATAAGACTACACCATATGAAACAGCTTATAAGAGATAAAGTAGAGAATATTGATAGAGTAGAGTCACAGATACAGTAACGCCATGTGAAGCCAGTAATATGAAAGAAAAAAACAACAACCAGACACCGCTGAAGAGATAGATCTCAGATGCTATGCAAAACCAAAAGACAAAACGCGACCGAGAGCACGAACCCGAAGCCAGTAGCCAGAATACCGAAATTCGTAAACCATGTTGCGCGCCGCCATGCATAGACCGGATATCATCATTCATGATCGTCAAAAAGCAATAAAATCAGTTAAAAAAAACAAGCTCCCCCAATGAAACGCAAACCGTGAAAATGAAGGATATCAAATCAAGGGTATCAGCAAAAGTGATAAAAAGATCCAGCGAAGACGCTTTTTTTGGGAGAACAGAACTCTCGTAGATCATTTTTTGAACATGTAGTGGCCATAAAGGCCGCCGACCTCGCCGACGGCCATGGGGATTTTGCGCATGCCCCACCAGCGCGCACCCATCTTCCAGTAGCGAGCACCATCATCGGAAGGTTCGTGGGGCATGGAGGATGGTTCGCGAACGTACCAGCCACGACGGCCAAGGTCTCGCACAGTCCAGCCAACGGATGCGCGCTGAGTCTTGGCACGCTCACGCAGCGGTGTGATAATCTTGTCACTGAACTCAACAACCTGCAAGGGATAGCTTTGATTCGACAGCAGTAAGCATGCGCTGGTGTTGAAGATGGCTCCAATGGTCATCTGTGGCACCTTGGCAAGATCGAGGTAGCAGAGTGTGCTTGGCGCATCGATTTCGACTCCCGTGGCTGGATTGCGGTATCGACCGAAGAACGAGTTTACGTCCGCGACCGAGAGATCCGCAGAGCTGAGACCCAACTCTTCAAGATACTTTGTCATCGGCACCAAGTATGGTACATGGTCCGAAGTGATCTTTGCTCCGCCCAAATTGAGGGAACGGAGAGTATCAGGAAGCTTCGGCAAAAGAGCAGACACATCGGTCTCTTCCAGAAGACGGAAGCGAGTAGGGTCGGTCAACAGGTTCAAATAAACTAGAGACTCATTGACCGATGGGTGGGTGGTGAGGAATTCAACCAAGGCGCACGGGCGGAGACGCGTGCATCGGGACAAGCTCAAATGCGAGATACGGGCAGTCTCAGGGATGGCGATGAGAGCTGAATCGTTGACTTGGGTGTGGGTAAGGTCAAGGTGCGTCAAGTTAACCAATCGCGGTAGGAGGTAGTCGAACATAGGAGCGGGGATAGTGCTGCATTCGTGAAGCGAGAGACGCTTCAGGTTGGGCATGGTCATGGGCAGCGCAGGGCCACCGACCAAGGCCTCCTGGAAAACCCCGGAGAATGCTTGAGTCGAGCAACCGCAAAAGTCCACGGCGCGCAAGTTCGGCAGCCCCATCAAGAGTTTCCGGATCACTTCCACACTAATATCGCCTTCCAGGTGTTCCTGCAGCAGGCATTCCTTCAGATTAGGGAGAAGTTCCAAGCACTGCAAGAGTGTCTTGGAGGTGAGGTTTTGGATTTCAGCGTTCATCTGCTTGGTGCGACCCAGGCCAACGGAGGTGAAGTGCGAGAAGTCTAGACGGCGCACTAATGTCCCCAACGCCGGATATTGCGACATGTGATTAAGTGCCTTCGAGAAGATAATAGAGTGTGGGAAAGTCATGTTCCGGTACAAAACACCCAAAGTAGCAGCATGCAATGTGTGGGATGTAAGCAGGCATGAGACCAAATCCACGTTGCGGGGGGCGTAGCCATTTGGCGGAAGGTCGACCGCAAGGTTAGAGATTATTTGATCTACCAACCAGTTAGCACTTGAGAAACAAAAATGGCAGGTGCGACATCTTACCAAGAACCTCCGGGGGCAGCTTCTCCAAAGGCGATGTGCCGGGAGGGGTCTGCAAGATCTCCATCTCGGGGACCTTGGGTGGGAGAAGCTGCACGGGTTCGGGTTCCTGGGCTTCCCATGCCCAGCCCTTTGCTTGTAGATTTCCTAGTCCACGAAGATCGCTGTAGCTGCGGCTCAAACTCTTGCCTCCCAATCGAATCTGCTTCCACCCCAGGAATCCACCACAAGGACAGCAGAAATCGGGGGCTTGTTGCATCTGGTTAAGGCGCTCGAGCTTGCGCTCTTGGTCTTGCTCTTGGGGAGATGGTGCTTGTTGGGTGTCCACGAATGATTGCGCAATTCCTAGATTACCCATCACGTCAGCCTCCAGCCTGGATTCGTACATCGTCGGTACGTACCGTCCTCAGTGTCTTCTTTGATTGAACCGAATGAGGGGCGACGTTGGCTGCTCGACCTGGACCCATCCGGGGTGCTGCAGGGCGAAGGAGATGATTCGCGTGAGTGGAAGTGATCACCACAGGGGATTGAAGAGATTCGAGGGAAGGCCGGCTTGGGCTGCGAAGGGGCAGTAATGGAAGTCATGATGAAGAGGATGAGGCCCTCTATAAAGGGCCCTAATTGTACAGTAACTAGTCGAAAAGTACCTTGGAGCGAGAAACACAAAAAAAAAACGAAAGTCTACCTAAATTTAAAATGAAAGTGCTTCAGATTTGAAAAAAAAGAGAAAGAAAAAAAACACAGTTCAAGACCGAGGGCAAGTTTAGGGCTCTCAGAGGGGCCGGCGGGGAAGAAAAAAAAAAGCGAAGCTGTTAGTCACGGAAACGGACCAGCGTTGCACAACTTTGTATGTAATAGTTTCCAAGTGAATTTTGAAAGGATTCACTAGTG